TGCTGACCAACTTATGCGGTTCCACAGGTAACTCACGTACGAAACTGAAGTCGCGTTGTGCCGGAACCGAAACGAAGCTGTACTGAAGTAGCGGCGGGCACGCCGAGCCCAGCCTAAAGCTCGCCACCGCCCTCTATTATCACGTGACAACTGGCACAGAAGTCACTGCAGCTGCAAAAGCTTCCTCCGAGCGCAGCTCATCGGGGAGCACCCCCCCCCCTCCGGCAGCGTGAGAGGCTCGCCTATCTATCTATCTATCTATCTATCTATCCATTTAGCCACCTACACTGGGTGCCCCCGTGATCCCCCCCCCTTAACTTGGGATAAACCAAAATTAGTATGCGAGGGTAAGATGGGATGACGAATATGACTTACTGTTCATAACATCAGTAATGTGGCGATCTCATCGCGTATGTCGTCAAACCCTTTCCGCCAGACAATCGTGGCACAACCCATATACCGCGGGTGTATGTGTGCCACAGGTTAGCTGGCATGTGCAGCAGACGATTATGCCAGGGTGCCGGAATGAATGAAACACCAGCATTCTGCGTGGCAATCAAGTATTCTAGCACAAAGTCACGCCACTTTCCAGAACTGCTTTTCAAATAGACCCTAATGTTCGTAAAACATCAATTGTGGAAGCAGTGCTAACTATAAACATTACATATTGTCACGGGGTCGTGACGTGGCCGAAGACCGGAAACTTCGTGTTGGGATTTAACTGTTCATTTGGGCGAACCTGTGCCCAGTAAACGGAAAGTCCAATTACAGCAGCAGTCTTGCACAGACAGCAGTCTCGGACTGATAGCGGCGAACGGAGCGTCGGCCTTCGATCAACAACTGACAAGCGGCGAAGCGCGTCGGCATTTATACTCTTGCTGTCGAATGTTCTAGCGTTATCGCTGGCGGTGGCATAGGTTCCAGAACAATCTGTACCGTTCGCACAGTGGGCGTGATCTTATCGAAATGATCTACTACAGTCCGGAACCTTCTCGAAAACTGCAGGCGCGGTTTGCGCTGAGAATCGTGTGGTGTTTTGGGACGATAACAAAAACTTGGGAAATGGAACGTGGCATTGCCACCCTCTGAAAAAAGGCATCGTCCCGATGCTTTAACTAAAGATGAAGGTACAACAATAATGCAAGAAAGTACAATGAATAAATTACGATACAACAATAATACAAAAAACACTGTTTCAGTTTGTTAACGCGCATGAAACGGCATGAGGCGCGCGACATGGACGACTTCAGGTCGCGATCGGCGTCGTTGAGAGTTCGTGCTGGTGTCGGGGACAACCTCGTAATCAAGTGGGCCGAGACGTCGAACCACCCTGTACGGTCCGAAGTACCGTCGCAGAAGCTTTTCACTTAGTCCACGTCGGCGTATCGGCGTCCACACCCAAACACGTTCACCGGGCTGGTATTCCACGAAGCGTCGTCGAAGATTGTAACGGTGGCTGCCGGTCGTCTGTTGATTCTTGATACGGAGACGCGCAAGTTGTCGGGCGTCTTCGGCGCGTTGAAGGTACTCGCTCACATCGAGGTTTTCTTCGTCGGTGACGTTGGGTAACATAGCATCGAGCTTCGTTGCTGGGCTCCTTCCGTAGACCAATTTGTATGGAGATATCTGCGTCGTCTCCTGCACCGCCGTGTTGTATGCGAAGGTCACATACGGAAGAATGGCGTCCCACGTCTTGTGTTCGACATCGACGTACATTGACAGCATGTCGGCGATCGTCTTGTTAAGACGCTCGGTGAGGCCGTTGGTCTGTGGGTGGTACGCTGTCGTCCGGCGGTGGTTTGTTTGGCTGTATGCCAAGATCGCTTGAGTTAAGTCGACAGTGAATGCCGTACCTCTGTCGGTGATAAGGACCTCCGGGGCGCCGTGACGTAGGACGATATTTTCGACGAAGAACTTAGCTACCTCGGATGCACTACCTTTTGGCAGGGCTTTTGTCTCGGCGTAGCGGGTGAGGTAGTCAGTAGCTACCACGATCCACTTGTTTCCGAAAGCCGACGTCGGGAACGGCCCCAGTACGTCCATACCAATCTGCTGGAAAGGTCGGCAAGGTGGATCAATTGGCTGCAGAAGTCCCGCTGGCCTTGTCGGCGGTGTCTTGCGTCGCTGACAGTCCCGGCATGTCCTCACATAACGAGTGACGTCGGTGGTAAGACCTGGCCAGTAGTACCTTTCTTGTATCCTCGCGAGCGTGCGAGAAACACCGAGGTGCCCTGCCGTCGGATCGTTGTGCAGGGCCTGCAGGAGTTCTGGTCGCAGAGCTGAAGGCACCATAAGGAGGCACTTAGCTCGAAGCGGTGAAAAGTTTTTCTTTTGTAGAAGACCGTTTCGTAGAAAGAACGACGCAAGTGCGCGCTTGAATATCTTCGGGACTTCGGCGGTCCTGCCTTCGAGGTATTCTATTAGGGCCTTAAGTTCCGGCTTGGCCCGCTGTCGTTCAGCAAAGTCGTCGGTAGTTATCGTTCCCAAGAAGTAGTCGTCATCCGGGTCGTCGGGTAGCTGTTGGTCGACAGGCACACGAGAGAGACAGTCGGCGTCGGAGTGTTTTTTGCCGGACTTGTAAATGACAGTAATGTCATATTCTTGAAGTCTCAGGCTCCATCGTGCGAGGCGACCTGAAGGGTCCTTCAAGGTGGCTAGCCAACACAAGGTGTGGTGGTCGCTCACAACTTTGAAGGGCCTGCCGTAGAGGTAGGGGCGAAATTTCGACGTAGCCCAGATGATGGCGAGGCACTCCTTTTCTGTTGTGGAATAATTTGCTTCTGCTTTGGATAGCGATCGGCTGGCGTAACTAATAACCCTTTCAAATCCGTCAGCCCTCTGCACAAGAACGGCGCCAAGACCTACGCTGCTTGCGTCAGTATGTATCCTGTCTCAGCGAAGTCGTCGAAATGGGCAAGTAACGGAGGCGTCTAGAGGCGATGTTTAAGCTCCTGGAAAGCGTGTTCCTGTGGCGTTTCCCACTTGAACTCCATGTCGGCCTTGGTAAGGTTAGTGAGAGGATCGGCGATGCGGGCGAAGTTTTTCACGAACCGCCTATAATAGGCGCACAGGCCCAGAAATCGGCGCACGGCCTTCTTGTCAGTGGGTGGCGGGAAGTCGGCGATGGCGGCTGTTTTCCGTGGATCGGGACGAACTCCAGACTTGCTGATAACGTGCCCCAGAAACAAGAGCTCCTCATACGCAAATCTGCACTTTTCTGGCTTCAGTGTGAGTCCGGACGTTTTGATGGCTTGAAGTACAGCTTCAAGGCGCCGAAGATGCTCGTCGAAACTCGAAGAAAACACGATGACGTCGTCCAAGAACACAAGGCAAGTCTTCCACTTCAATCCTGCCAGTACTGTATCCATAACGCGTTGAAAAGTTGCAGGCGCTGAGCAAAGGCCAAAGGGCATCACCTTAAACTCGAAGAGGCCGTCCGGTGTTATAAACGCTGTCTTCTCTCGGTCTCTTTCGTCGACTTCGATTTGCTAATAGCCAGTCTTGAGGTCCATTGACGAAAAGTACTTGGCGTTATGGAGCCGATCAAGTGCGTCGTCTATTCGTGGGAGAGGATACACGTCCTTTCTTGTGATTTTGTTCAGGCGGTGATAATCGACGCAGAAACGTAGGGTCCCATTCTTTTTCTTCACTAACACCACGGGGGATGCCCATGGACTCTTGGACGGCTGGATAATGTCATCCCGCAGCATTTCATCAACTTGTCTCTTCATGGCCTCACGTTCTCGCGTCGAAACCCTGTACGGACTCTGACGGAGTGGTCTGGCATTTTCTTCGGTTATGATGCGATGCTGTAGTATACGACCATCACATCAAGTTAGTGCCAGTTGCAGTTAAGTGCCAGCAACTGTAGTCGATTTATGCAGTCTTGTAAAGAACCGTAATCCTCACGAGCACAAGTGCTACATATCAGCTTATCGCTTCTGGTGATGCTAATAGCCATGTTGCTGTTGGTACTGTCACCGCAACTGTAAAGAACGTGTTGTATAAAACATATTCGAGTGTTCAAAATATCCCTGAGCCTACAAAATTCTGGCATATTTTCAGCGTCATTTCCTAACGCTTCGCTCAATAAAAAAAATCACAGCGTACCCACGGAGGGAACGATGATGAGTGGGACAAAGCGTCTATCCATTCATCCGTGTGTCAATCTGTCCATGCGTCCGTCCATCCATCCGCCCGTGCGTCCGGACGGACGGATGGAAGCACGGACAGATGAATGGACGGATGGATGGACGAGCGAATAGACGGATGCACGCACGGATGGACGCTTCAACCCACTTATCAACATTCACTTCTTAGATATTCTGTGAAAAACACTAACGTCATCCAGTTATATTATTCTCAAGGGCATATACAGACATGCTATCCATTGACTAATTCATAAAATGGAAGTGGGGACATACTACTACTACTACTACTACTACTACTACAGAGGAGGGATGACCCACGGCCTTAGGAGCTTCGCCCCTTAAAAAATACAACGCAGTCACCTTCCCTCCGCATGCTTCGCATAACATCGATTCCCAAGATACGTGCGATCTGCCTAAGTTTGACTGCTGTACTCGCCAAGACTGTGCATTACCTCCAATTCTTTGACCATTTAGTCTTCTAGTTAGGTGTCTTGAGACCTCCCGTTTAGTGGACCAGGGACGGTCGGCATTTATTCTCAGCCCTGTTCGCATGTATATGATATGTATATTGCATTATTCTGTACCTGTACATTTCGTCTAGCTGGTTCTTCTTACGTAGGAAACGAGTTACGTGAGTTCGATGCGTCGACCTGGTCAAAAGATCGTAGATGTTATGACCAGCTGCTTTCTCGAGTAACTAAAATCGCTACATCACAATTGATGTGCCCACTACATGGCGAAATAGAATGTCTTGTATGTGTCTCAACCATTCTGAACATATCTTTGACATTGTCAGTGGTGCCCACTGAACTTTATTAAAGGACCAACAGTGCCGCACGCAACGTATCTTCAGCGGTTCCATGTCAGCACGAACGGCTTCGTCAGTTGGTAATGCAGGCTCGACACTTTCATGAACTGTAATGGAAACGAACAACCGTAACTTCTTTCAGTGTTGCTCTAATGTACCCGGGGAGCATTTTGTAGACATTCACGTGACAAATTGCATTGCTGAAGAGTGCACCAGCAAAAGTTTCCGAGAGCACACACGCTCGCACCTGGATGCGCAGCCAAGACATATTCACACTAAAATCTAGGGTTCGATAGAAACCTGTCTGGTAGGGAAAGTTTCAGGTGGAAAAACCAGGCGCCAACCAATTGGTCTTGGTGACAATTAAACTAAGTTCAAAAGAAGCTATGTTTTTTTTTTTGCCTTAAGTGCGCTCTCCAGCTTACGTTATGAATAATTGGCGCCCACTGGTCTACAGCTGCAATCATTCAACCTTCGCAATCTTACCTTTCGATTCTACTTACATTATTGAGTAAATGAAATAGAAAATGGTAAGAGGTAAATGCTAACCAACCAAAACTTTTATATGTATGTTCATGTGCGTGTATTGTGGGCATTTATAAGGCCAATCTTTTTCATCAGGGCATTACCATCATAATGCGGCCGTAATGCATTCTCATCGTTGTCGTGTGTGATCATCATAATCCTGGGCGGATCATAGCTGTTGGTCATCGTGCTCTCGGCCCAAATAAAGATTGCCTCAAATAGGACCTCATAGTATGTACTGTTGGCGTCAAATAAAATACGAATTCGTAATTTTAGTGGGTCATCACCATGGAAAGACATGCACATCCGGTTCGGAAGAAATTGTGCACATGCGTGTCTGCATTGGGCCAACTGTACCAGAGCAAATGCTTGCCGTGGTTCGCGTTTCATTTGACATCGAAAGCATGTATGTACCCATGTATTTATAGAGACGTGCTTGATGAACTGTGCAAATTGCTGCAAGATCAGAGTGCGGCCCGCGAAATTGACTCGCTGAACCATTTCCGTCACATTCTTATGATTCCATAGCACAATTCTACCACCGTCACTGGTGCCAATCACGTGGCGACTCCGCTATGTATGTAGTAGTGTTATTCCTCTAAACAGAACATTAGTCTGATTAAGTTAGTGGCGCAGGTTCAATGAAATTTTGTGGTGCAAAATAAACTAGAAGAGAACAGTTCAAAGCGCTCCCAGGACCGTTCAAAGCGCTCCCAGGCCACTTATATTTGAGTCCACAGATATTTGGCGGACTGAGGTCCATCACACAATGCGCGTAGCTGGCATTTATGTCCAAACGCAACGCCCACCCACCTGTCCGGCCGGGTTGTAGGTGAAGTTGGTGGGTAGCCGGTTGAACTGCACCTCCCGCGGCTTGTCCGTGACACCATAAACGGTGACGGCGTTCAGCAGCATAATACTGTCGTAGCCACAATGCACACACATGCTCGACACCGTGTTCTGCATTCGAAAGAGGACGCAGATAGCGTTTACAAATAAACGAAGCATATGTGCGTCAATGCGCTACGTGCTAGCGAAGGTGTAATCTACAGCGTGTAAGTGTTCTAATCACTACTGCCTCTCTTCGCTTTCAACACGATCGAGCATACCTGTAGTGTATGACCACATGCAGTTAAGTCTATTCAGGACTATGCAAGAGAAGGTGCAAAAGGATGTTTTTTTTAAAGCTGTCTCAGCAAGGGATCTATTCTGAGTATGTCAACCTTGTGGGCTGTCCACTTCGTCCACCATCGATTAGCTTGAACTCGGCGAGAAGCGCGTTCCTTGTTTGTGGCTAATCCGTGACGTATCTTTGACATCGCGAAGTTTTCGCAACTCTCAACATAAATGAGAAGGACGGAATACGCTTCACCACAACGAGTGCAAGCCTAAAGATCCGCATTTAAATATACATCTCGGAGGCCTCGTGTAAACTCTCATCACGTTAGCCCTTAAGTTAGCTTGAACGCAGCCGCTCGCCAAACGTACCTGGAAGGTTGGCGTGCATCCGCTGCATCTGTTCCAAACATGTGGACACGATCATATGCAAATTTAGCCTTGACAAGTTTGTAAGATGTCTTGTTACTCTACACTTCGTCCGCTTTCTTTTTTTTTTACAAAAGTGGACATGTGCGCAAAGGAGACATATCGAGAATAGCTTCCCAGGTACCAACGAGGAGAGTTCTCATGGGTTCCAGTGCGTGAGACCATGCACTCACTATGCACCCACAATTTTTAAGAAGAATGTCCACTACGCTGCAGTCACCAAAGAATTGACTGCCGTCATTTCCGTCACGGAAATGGTGTCACTAAATGACGCATGAACAGGACAAAAACAAAAACACGAAAAAGCTACTTGACGCGCACGATCGCAAAATCAAATGTATGCGAATGCATGCCTGCACGCCCTACGTGTATACCTTTAACTTCCTCATTTCGCGCTGAGGCTTTATCGATGTCATACCAACAAGCCCAAATACGGCCCTTAGGCAAACAAGCACAATGATCCTCTTGGGCGCTGTAGGTATCTGAATGAATGAATGAATAAATGAATAAATAAATAAATGATTAAAGTAATCACGGATGATGTAGCCACTGCGCCACAACAAATGTACTTTCCTGGTCTCGAACACACTACAGGGTGCGGATTAATAGCGATGCGGGTGTCTCAACATCGCAGATGCTTGGAATCACCACGACACCATTTGAAATTCGCGGTTTCGGGCTGTGTGGTGCCGACAGAGTTTCGCGACCGTCCTGGGGGCCCAAACAACAATGTTCTTACCTTGACTGCGACAAACTTGATGAGGCTGTACTCGCCCTTTTCATAGGAACCTGTAACGTAATCCAAAGTTGAATAGTTCTTGAATATGCACTGTAACGAAATCAATATTTCTTAGACATATGAAGCAAAGACTTGAAACGTGGATAATTCAACGAATTGCACTGTATTCATCTCATCTTCATTGTGAAGAAAAAGTGAGGTGCAGGGCGCAAAGACATCGCGCTTTGTCTGTCATGGATTTACTGAATCAAATCGACAAGTGTACTTCTTTCTTCTAAGTTATTGACCAGATGAGTTGCTGAATCGATTACATTAACCAAGCCTGCTTTGCTTTTGTTCATTGAATCGCGAGAGGTATATCAGACACGAATAGAGCGGACATCGAGGTGGTTTTCAACCTATTCTGCTACGTGTGCAGGCTCTAGAGATACAGAATACTTGCAACTACTACCCTTCTGCACAATTGCGAACAAGTTTCCAACAATTGGCAATTTTAAGCGAATGTGGTGCGCTGGGTTAGAACTCTTCGATGTTTTCAACGCACTCAGGGTTGATGGCACCCTCGCACGCAAGGTTGACAAGAATGCGAACAAGATAGCTTTTCTTCCTTAATGCCACTGGCTTAAACTGTGTACGATGTGACGACATAAACACGTCCGAAAATGTCCTTTAGCCTTTACATTGAGATTGCGAATGATTCTCGTCAGCATCAGCAGTGTTGTCTATGGAATAATATGCAGCAGTTGCTTTTAAATTACCGACGTCACGGTTGCAAACTGCTATCAATATGAACTATGATTTCCACTAGATGCTTTATTCACGTAAGTTATTGTTCGTTTTTACCGTTCGAGCAGTTATAAAGTAAAAGCCCTGCAGAATGCAACACACAGTTGAAGAGGAAAAACTTGTTCCACAGTTCTTGTCAGAACTTCTTGCAGATACCTTGTACGCAGATACGTTTTGAGGCGTTCCGACTAACAATCGTTGTTCCTCTCTTAATATGCTTTCGTATTGGTATAGTACTGCCTTGTACGCAATAAGGCACTCAATGTAAGACAGCACTTAGTCCGTCTCTCTCTTTCTTTGCTGTTCGCGCCATCTCTATTCTCTATGGAGCTGTACAACACGACACAATAGCCAGAATGTACTCCGGTTCAGTTTTACCATCATAATTTGCGGGACCGGGGTCGTGGTCACTGGTGCCCTTGCGCAAGTGCAGTGCTTACCGATATACTCGCCGTCGTCCCAGTAGAGCTCACCCATGGCCAGCCCGTCATGGTTTTGAGCCACCAGCAGGTTGAATGGCTTGAGTCGACTGCAAGTACGCTTGGGTCGGGTTAGGTTGCCGACACATAAAGACCAGCTTTAAATGTAAACACTCTTCACGGCCTAGCCCCGCCGCGGTGGTCTAGTGGCTAAGGTACTCGACTGCTGACCCGCAGGGCGCGGGATCGAATCCCGGCTGTGGCGGCTGCCTTTCCGATGGAGGCGGAAATGCTATAGGCCCGTGTGCTCAGATTTGGGTGCACGTTAAAGAACCCCTGGTGGTCGAAATGTCCGGAGCCCTCCACTACGGCGTCTCTCATAATCATATGGTGGTTTTGGGACGTTAAACCCCACATATCAATCAATCAACTCTCCACGGCCTACACCGTTTAGTTTTTTTACATATGACCTCCCGCGCGGATCTCTAGAGTTTTTACACCATCTAACGTGTAGTAGCCTTTATCATTATCCCAGTATTGTGAGGCTGAGCTATAGTGTTAGCATTAGGCTGAGCAGATTTCATTAGTGTGAGCACTAAGTTGAGCTAATTTCATTAGGGTGAGCATTAGGTTGAGCTAATTTCAACTTTGCATTATGACGAGGGTGGAAATAGAACAAATTTGTCCATTTTGATTTAGCTAGGTACACGCATAGCAAAAAATACAGAACCCTTCCCTAACCACTTCGAGAGATTCTTGCTGCGCAATGCAGTGACGAGAAGACTCCCACTTTTGTTTGCTTCCACTGGCAATGACAATCACTATAATTATCTAAGCTACATACTGTGCGTGTGGCATATCAGCCGGGCCCACTGACTCTGCTACAGCGGAAATCTTGTACAGTGTAAATTGTAAACTTGATCGTTCATTGCTTTGAAAAGCGCTAAATAACACATTCACAAGATAAGGCACGCGACAGGTCGCCACTAACAACGGTTCAATGTCCGTTCTTGGGAGTGTATTTTTTCGAGCCCTAAAAAAAACAATTATTCACCTACACCAACTCGCCCGACTAAAAACTGTTTTAGGTGCATTTCAAGCACATTATAGACAGAACAGGTACCAATGAAAAAAAACAAACAACAGAAATGAACACGAGGGACACACGACTTGAGAAACGACTGCTTATCTTCTTAACAGGTAAATTATGGACAGTGAATTTGTCAGCACAATTCTTGCGTTCCAGCTCTTAATTCTTCCCTGTATGGTCCCTAAAATGCAGGACTTCATGTCCTTTTTCGAGAAATACACTAACACGGAGATAGCTCCAAATTCAATGAAATATATGCTTCGTCATTTCCTCGGTTTTCTCACAGCAAGCACGGAAATCTTTTGAGAGGTCACTAAGAAGGGCCTACCTGGCAGCGGTGGTCTGCGCCGGTTCTTGCGAGGGCACAACGTGTCCTCCGCGAATGAGCAGGCAGATGGAGTCATTGAGCGGCGACATCTGGAAGTCCTCGCCGGCGCTGTGGTAGGGAAGACCAAGCATCACGTCGTACCAGATGCCGCGGGGAAGGTATGGCTTCACACTCGTCGCGTTCTGCAAAGGTGCAACAAGTTCGGGCAATATTTGTTCGAAATACGGCAATATGAGTGCCTGTAGATGACGCAGACATGTTACAAACGCACATAACGCAAGCCTTCTTTCCCTTAGTCCAAGCGCAAACCCTACGAAGTTTTTCCGCTTTGCCTGAATTCAAAAGTGGGAAGTCCCGCGACGCGCTAGAGCGTCTTGCAAATTGACACGCAGTTCACAAACTGCATGCAGCACGAGAGGTAACGGCTGGCAGGTGCACAAGCTAAAGACTGGCTTCTTTCTGGTTTTAGCTGATTAAGCACGGCTACATGCTTTAGCCATAATGCTCTGGCTATGTGTAGTTTCATTGCTCTTACAGTCAAGCTTGTTCCATCTGTATAGGTAAAATACAGTCTATAGCACAAATTCCAGAGATACCCAACGCCCACATTCTTCCCCAGGCAAGAACAACAACTTCGGTGTAACCTCCTACTTAATATGCTACAGCACGAAAATGGCAGACACAGTGTTAGCTATCCTTTGTTCATGTAGCTGTAACGACATCTTTCTTACATTCCTGTTCTAGAATCATCGATTAAGTCATTGCTCATGAGCCCATCGATTTTACAGGGCCAGTATGCAGAAGCGGTCGCGAAAGGCGACAGCATCACGTTCGTTGACCTAGAGTCTGATGTGTTCAATACCAGCCGGTAAGATGTCATTGTTGCGCTCACCGTTAGTCTACGAATCACTGAAAACACAGGAGTAAGCCTTTACTGTACGAGCCCAGAATGACAGAAGGTGGCCTTTTCGAGCGTATGCTGGCTTCTACGCAGCAGCTAGGATTGGCAGCGGCTACTTGAAATACCAAACGTGTTCAAGGTTCTTTGAACGTGTTTTGTGCGATTGTTTGAAGTGCAGTACAACAGTTGAATGCAGTCGCTTTGTGTTAAATATTTTTTTACTGTTTCAGCCAAGCCTACTCGGAGAGGTCAGCTGTAGTCTGGCACCACAGTTACATCGCGCCAACATCTCCACGTGTTGCCGGCGCACGATAAGCCCGGCACTCGAGCAATGCACGTTTCACTAAACTTCAACGTTCAAACTACCCGAAAACACGCACTGGCTACAAAAAAACGCGTACCGAAAACACAGAGGTAATGCTCGCTGAAAACTCCGGAGTAAAAATGCTGCGCCCATCCAATCAGGATTGAATACTAGAATCTGCCGTCTAGGTCACGGAATTTCCAGGCACTGATAAAGCGCATTAACTTTTTCCAGGCATGTCAGGAGCCCCATAGAACATCGTCATGCTTACAGAAATACTAGAGGGCGCACGTGATTTCCCGCTTTAGCTCAATCGTCAATCAGCGCACACAAAGGGCGACACATTCGCGACTGCCGCCTTTTGCAATGGTTTCAAAATATGACCCCAGTGTAAGGGTGGAATCCATACCGGAGCACAAAACTCCCTGTATGGAAGCGTCCTTGAAAATAGATCTACGCAACAAATGCGGCTGCTCGGTAAGGCATGCGCATGCTCATCGCTATTCCCCGTTTGGCCTTAGCCACGCATGTCAAGTTCCATGCACGCAACTAACCGGCTCCAGGATAGGAAGCACCAGCAAAGCGCTGCCCCACAGAAACTGCGTGTCCACGGCGTAGGTGTTGACGTCCTTGGGAAACCTGAGTGTGGCACAAAAATGGACCAGAATAGACAGGTCGTCCTTATAACCACTGATCATCGCGAATTACTCCAGACAAAAAAAAATGATCAGTTTAAGTTGACATAACGAGGCCTTAGAATGTACCACGTGTCGCCAAATTTGGGCGAAACTATAGTTCACGGACAAGCACTCTGATTACTGAGGCGTAATGTTATGCTTCATCTGAAACTGCGTAAATTGCAGTGAAGGTTGTGTGCCTATACTCAGCCAGCTAGAGAACCAAAACAAGGGCATCGGCCATTTAAAAAATTTAAATAGCTTCCATCACAATACTGATGGTAGTTTGGCATCGCGAAACGTTACCCCGCAATACTTTTCCGTACAATGCGATAATCTAAACGTCTCAACTTCATCAGGGCTACAAGTTGTCCAGGAATTCATATACATGTTGCTATTGCATTAAGATTTGAGCATAACGATCTCGCTCCTCTGTTTCGTACGTAGCTCTATTGTGTGTCACCTCTGCAGCAATATTTTCATGGTCCCATCCCGCACGCGTTACCACGAGCATGAATTGGCTAAATAGCTAAACTAGAGTGAAGGGCCATCGCTGAAACCTCCTAGGTAAAGATACGTCCTTCGAATAGTTCGAAAGGTGGTGGTTGACACACACAGCTATTTACTGTAAGAAACCTGAAGACCTGCTTAAGTCGATTGCGCTGCTCTTTAAGACGTTAATCTTTTATTGTCGATAAGAATTCCGATACCTGTTGGACACTTATTGCCTTTTACCGAGAACCTTTGTATATGGCTTTACCGTCAACTTTCGGGAGATGAGTAAGCACTTCTGGAAATGTGCGAACCTGTACGAGGGAAGGTTGATGTCTGGAGGTTCCTAATAAATAAATACTGCACTGCACCCTTAATTTACCCAAGAGAAGCAAGAAAACAAGTCGGTACGCACTCGAAGAACAAAGGCCGGGCGACAGTCTCGCCGAACACGTGGCTTCGATAGAACAACGTGTATAGGTACGGCAGGAAGCAGTAACGGATCTTGAGGGTCTTCTTGGCAGTGGCCGCTACGGCCCCTCCCATGGCTGCAGGATCTTGATCCTGAAACGGAATAGCCGCATAACATTAACCTCCTCGCAGAGTCAAAGCTGAGCTATGCAAGCGCGTCAGAATAGGAGTCAGTTTTACCGCCAAAGAGAAGCAACGAATGCATTATCAACCAATTGGAATGTCACGCGAAGGACGACAAGCAGTTCGAAACATACAGCGTTCTCATCCAGCACAAATGAGGCATGAAGAGAATACATACAGGACGAGTGCGAATAACTGCAACAGCTTGGCACGTAAAGCGCACTGCTCACACACAAATAAAGCTGCCACGTTATACCTACGAACTTTTTATTCTCATCGGTACCTAACTTTCTGTCTCCCCTTCGTGTTTTTGCCCTACCTCAGAATACAATCAGTTACCCTTAATGACCACTGGTTATCCTGCATGCCTACGCACTATAGAGGCCCGGCCCATGTTCATTTCTTCTTTTTCTCAAGTATGTTATCCTTAACCCCGGTTGGTTCCCTTACCCACTCTGCTCTTTTCTTGTTTTTTTAAGGATACACCTATGGTTTTCCTTTCCATCACTCGCTGAATCGTCCTGATTGATTTGTGGGATTTAACGTCCCAAAACCACCATATGATTATGAGAGACGCCGTAGTGGAGGGCTCCGGAAATTTTGACCACCTGGGGTTCTTTAACGTGCACCCAAAGCTGAGTACACGGGCCTACAACATTCCCGCCTCCATCGGAAATGCAGCCGCCACAGCCGGGATTTGATCCCGCGACCTGCGGGTCAGCAGCCGAGTACCTTAGCCACTAGACCACCGTGGCGGGGCCGCTGAATCGTCCTCAATTTCAGCTGAACCCTCTTTGTAAGCCTTCACGTTTCTGCTCCGTAGCTTAAATTCAACATAACTACTTCGGCCTTGAAAGAGTTATTGCAACCACCATTCACCCATCTATCTACGAAGCCATCCACGTTGATGAACATAACACATTCCTAATCGGGATATTCTAAAGCAGCCCTTCTCGGGGAAGAAGGGGCTCCCCCTAAGAACTCACGATGTTTCCCTTCGCGTTGTGGTTCCTCGCGAACGGGTAGAAGGCGCCAAGAGCGTGCCAACGGTTGCACAGTTCGCTGGTTGTGTTGTCCCAGAAGCCGCAGATGTCCGAGCCAGTCAAGGGAATGCCGAGGATGTTGAACGTCAGCATCGCTGAGAGCAGCCCGGAAAATGTGACGTTTGTTTGCACGTTAATACACTGAGAAAACAATACTGCGGAAGAGGAGTACACGCGTAAATTTTGACACAGTGTTGGGACAGGCATTGAGTTTCCTATAAATACACTCGAACGAACTCTGTCACTATGTCTACGGAAGCTGCAACGCGCGATGCTTCAACCAGCATGAGAATGATGGGTAGTACGCGGACTCGTCCGTTCTTGTTTCGCCTCCGTTTGCTTCCATGTGGCCTGAATCCGCTTTGCCGCGAGACTAAGTTCAGCGGAAGTTGAGCAGTTACGCACCACCACCTTGACCTTTTTAGGCTCACTAATTCAAATTAAATTCCAAACTTAAAAACAATCCGTTCTTTTACTCAAAACAAAACCAAAATCGAACAATTAACAACGCTACAAGTGTGTTAGAAGCCCGCGAGCACGAAAACTAGGCAAATTCGTGTACTACCCATCGTTCCGATTGTGATTAGTGATCGCATTTCCAGAGTTCTTTTTCGTAAATATTGTAGCAATGCCCATGAGAACAGAGGCAACACTAGTATTGTCTGATTCGGTATTTGCGTCTTTTTGTGCACGTCTTACACGTTTATAATATAAATCTCTACCACGTGTACAAGTTTTACGTTGGTCCAAATCACATGGCTGCATTGTCGTTTTAGCGCAGTAGCTCCATTTAAACGCCGGGGATTCAAACGCCATCAACGATGACATTCCTGGGAGTGGTGGGAACGCTTCTTCCGCGAATGACGAAATTTCACTTATACAGTATTCTGCGTATTAGATGTTAACAAGCACGTACTACACTGCCCCAAAATAGTGTCAGCACGCATCCCCTTGTGAAATACCTGCTTTTCAAAAGCAGAACTGTTTCCTTGCTGGCAGTTTCATACCAATACTGATACTGAGCAGTACTAATAGTTTCTTATCTCGCCGTTTTTTCCTCTGAAAGCATACTAACACCTAGAATTGCTTACAATGAGTAGTTCCGTACATGTAATTTTCATGCTGACTTTATTCCTTGAGTATGTGCTGCTTCTCTAATACATTGTTGCACATGCTTTGGCCTTTTGCATTTTTGACTGCTTATGCTCGTGTGACTGAGCATCCAGGGTGTGACATACCGGGCATGGACTCCTCCCGAAATTTACTTATTCTATGTGAGATACTGCACAAAATGAGAACTGGTCTTACTGGCCTGGCCGGCATACAGTTCATATGAAGGTTGTGCCCCACCCGTAGCATTTCTTACAATATTTACTAAAGGCAACTCTGCCACTGAGATCCTTCAGAAACCATGGGAGTAATGGGTACTACTCAGCAATGATAGCGCGCCACTGGGAATGATAGGGCTGCACTATGGGTTCACAGGGGCGTACCAAACGAGGTGCTGTAGAGCTAGGTGGGATGGTGCTCCTTCGAGGCTCTGGAGGCAGTTGCAAAACTCACCAATGAGAGGCGAATGAGCCATTTGCCAGACGGGCGTTGGGTGCATGAGGTGTATCAGTACATCTACCTCGAGTGCATCAGTGCAATGTTGGTGCTACCACCAAACACTTTTCCGAGTGGTACGGTGTTGCACTATGCCGACTCACAGAGAAGCCTCAACAGGATAGGAAGAGCAAGACCCGCGAACCTGCTCAAGAGGCCCAAAATGCGAGCTGGCGGACGACGACAGCAGAGAAGCCCACTTTGATTCTATACACTAAGCCAAACAATCTATTGACAAAAGGATGCTGTATGATAAGTCAAGGGAAAGCGGCCTTCTATTAGAAACTGGATGTGGCATGATGTAAACACGATCGCTGAAGGCAAAGTACCTGCCAAATCTCTATGCAACCTGGAGGAGGAAACCGTAGAGCAAATTCTACTACAGTGCCCTGCACTGAAGCCGAAGGCCTTCGCCGTCGCTCCATCTGCTGCGGCCGCGGCGTTGACTTCCTTGCTTAACAGGAAGAGCCAACAGCTGCAGCAGGAACAATCGCTGGTGATCACCTGGTACAAAGAGCAGGGCGACAACAAGCACAGACCACACGTTTTTTTTGTTGTTGTCAAACGCACTGGTGGTTTTGTTTATTGTTGTGTTTCGGTTTTGTTTCGGGTAAAGGAATGGTTCGTTGTGAACTTCGTGAGCTTATTTGAACTGGTGGGCCCAAAAAGTTCAAGTTGGTCGAGTGGTACAGCTGAAGATTTACTGAACTTCATGTTGCAACAAAGTGAATTCAGACCACGCGGAGCCAAACGGAGCCGAAAGAACAAAGCTTAGAGAAATATGTGTACTGCCCATCAATCCCATGCTGCCTGTTGTGCCATGTGTTGCAGCCTCCATAGACACTAGCGCCAGAGTTCCCTCTAGTGTATTTATAGCCAACTCTACCATTCCCCTCTCCTGAATCAGGGTTATGTTTGCGCCACTGTGCGTGTACCCTGTTTCTTTGCCCCTGTTTGCGTCTCGCAGTGTATCATGAACGGGAAGAAATACCGCCATAAACAGGCGAGACAAAACACACCTGGATTAAGCTGATGCGGAGATCTGCCCGAGTATATTAGGCAAGCGCGAAGATGGCGCTTGAGACTGGTATAATTATTATGGTTACCTTGACACGCTAACTGCATGCAAACAAGTGGTCAATATTCGTAATTTACACCAGAGTGTGCAAGCACTGTCTCCCTCGTGCAGAGTTTTTCAATAATTCGAGTTGCGAAGCTCCTCATAGACCACATGTACTGTAATCTAAACTCTCCACTGATCGCGATCGAGGGGAAAGGGGGTTCTTCTGAGTATGGCGTCATCTGTCGACTAAAAAAACTAAAAGGCTCACAATGAAGTCAGTCCTGCCTGAAGCGTTGAGCAGCGTGCGAGGAGCGCACACAAAGGTGGTGTCGCGCCGCAACAGTGTTCTGTATTGCTGCTCCTAGATGACGCTATCATTGGCAAACCCCTCTCCCCCCATCCGAATAAGAAGGACATGGGTATATTCGAATTTCGGGACGCAGTTTCGCAACTAGTATGATTGAACAACTAAGTTTTCACGTACAGGAAATCGATGATCGCATGGCGTCCCAGTCGGACTCGATGTCACCGCTCCAGTGGCCCGAGTACCGGCCCTGACCCGAGAACGTGGACCGCGATATGATGAATGGTCTCCGCAGAAGAATCTGGCGCAGGGAGCTGAGAAATCAGGCACCGGGTAACATAATTTTTTGGCCCTTAGAAAAACATGGTACAGGCCAATCAGCAGGCCATAAAATGCAACGAATGCAGAACGCTGCAAACACACATATATATAGTCGTCTCCATTACAACTTCGCTGGATCTACAGGGTGCCCTCCGTAATTGTAGCCAGGTTTCTTTAAAAAATTAAAGGTGCGTCAAAATCGAACAAAAGCGAACACATTACTATTCACACTAGCCTATAAAGTTGCTCTAGCTTTATTTCATGTGCCTTTACATGACTCGAATGTATCAAATTATTCAAATCTCTGATTATTCTTTGAAGGTCCAAAGTATGAACGCGCATTTATAGAGCACCTTCGAAAAAACCGAGTTATTTTTTATATGGTGCACCCTGCGTACACTTATTTTGGCGCCTTACAAGACAAATCCCGCGAAATATGAATCCGGTTCTCAGGCGTGTAATAGACGAACCAGCAAATTACGCAGTTTCCGCCGTAGTCACAAAGGAACCCCTCCGTCATCCTTCATCGTTGTCAGCCACTACATGCATAAAAATAATGCACAATATTTTTAACATACCACGTTTCTACAAAGAACGATGAAGGATATCATAATGAATGCCAGCCTACTACACAAAACACATGATTAATTGTGGCGTAGTGGGTACCCAGCAAGTGTGCTTGTAGCAGTTACTCAAAGAGTGTTAAGACAAGGCTCAGAAAGGCCGCTCTTCGAGCTTTCGCTGTGACAGTGCTGCACGTTCTGCGCAGGCCTGGCGATTTTTTAAGACAATTTGGGTAGCTGCTGCAAGTACACTTGCAGGGAACCCACTACGCCATAAATCATTGTGTAGTCGGCAGACATTCACTACCCCGTCCTTCGCCATTCTACGGAGAAGCGTGTTACCCGCTGCCCACTTGCAAGTAACACTGGGCAAATTTTTGTGCCGTGACTGACGGCAATGGATAATTATGCCAGAAGCTTTTGTAATCCCCCCCAATCCCACACACATTGGTATGTGCCACAGTTAATAGGTGAACTATATCAAGCTTATGTAATGGGTATGAGCATTCGACGACCCCCTCGTTGCGCAATTCGCAGTGTGTGACACCTGGTTGTTCTTTTGCTGTTCCAAAACACTTTATTGTTCATAATAACGCATTTTTTATCCCGACATCAATCCTGCCTAAGGCCATTTTGCCGTGGAGTTCCCAGCATCGGCGTGGCTCAGTGGTAGAATACTGAGTTGGCACGCAAGAGATCCGCGTTCAAATCTCATTACGGAGCGCGATGGTAGTTATGGATGGTGGTAGCGGCGGTGGTGGACAACTGCAGTGCGTTCGACCCTTGTTGTGATCTCATAACATCTTTCGCTGTAAAAGCGCCTGGAGTGTCTATATAAATGCTATAATAGAAGTTCAGAAGGGTTGCTGATCGGGCGAGTTGGTCATCCATGAACGTAGCGTGTATTAGCGCAGTACATAAAAGAAAGGGACACGACACAGACGTAGAGATAGGTAGGCGCTAAGAAGGGTTGCTGATCGGGCCAGTTGGTCATCCATGAACGTATACCGTGTATTAGCGCAGTACATAAAAGAAAGCGCCTACCTATCTCTACGTCTGTGTCGTGTCCCTTTCTTCATGTACTGTGCTAATACACGCTACGTTGATGGCTATAATAGAACACAAGGACAAAGACTCAAGATGACCGCGAAGACGAACTGAAGGACATGGAAAAACGAGAATATTCCTCGTGGAACAGAGTTAGTCGAAATCGCTTGGCTTACTCATATGTGCGTAGTGCCTCCGTCAGCCCATACAGGTTGTGCAGGTTATAGTGCGTGGACAGGTAGTGGCGACCCGTCATGCACAGTGTCTTGGTTCGCAGCGCCTCCTTTCCTTCGCCGGGTAGGTACGGTGGTTCTTCCAGTGTAGACGCCGGGCATCCACGCTCGGAACCGTTGTACAGGCTCGACGGCTCGTTCAGGTCCTGCCAATGAAACAGCAATGGTAACAGCGTGCTGTTGAAAGGCACACAACTCGTCTATGCCACCAGCACCACTCCTAGCTTCACGACATGTTTTCAACAACGCCTCGAATAAGTAAACGCTAGATCTCTTACCAGCCACAGTCCATCGAACGGCATCACGTCATGGAAGTAAGACAGCATCTTCGTCCAGTACTCCCCGCTCGCCGGGTGCGTGAAGTCCGGATAGACGAGCTGGCTCCGATTTCCCACCTGCCGGTTCGAAAAATTTCATTGCGGGGCGACAAATGGGTAAGAACCTCCCTTCCTACGCCTTTGACGCATTGCAGAACTCTCTTTGAATAGAAACGCAATGTTTTATTGTCTGCGCCTGTTCAGAAGGTTCACCGGTCGCCAGTGTACGAGAACTCGAGTAAACCAAACAGTAAAATGTCTGTGGTAGAATCTTCTGAATGCTTCAAACTAATGCTTGAACAAATAACAAGGGATCATACACTCGAAGTGCTCGTGGACATCAAATCCAGTGGTCGAAACAAGGATGAAGCAACTTTTTTCAATGGGTGCACGGGAGGTGAGCGTTTGTGATTATTCAATATTTCTTTCCTCGCTGGAGCATACGCACCCTATTTATGTATGACTAACTTGTTTGCATGACGCCATCGCTTTTACAGTCTATTGTTCTTCCCTATCAAACTAGTTTCATGCTGTTGCCTATTTAGCGTGAATTACCAACAAGCTCAGTGAACGACATGGTTAAGCTACATGAACGAGCTCTCGCACCCTTTGGAGCACCTAGGGTTCCGGGGTTTTTCACTGCACGAAGACATTAAAAATGCCACACTATACATGCATTGTAATTCTACACCCCGTAACCCACGGCGTCTTTTATTTACCCCTGCAACGGCTTCACTCGGTGTGTAATGCCTGCTGCTCGTTCGCAAGAATGCGACCTCGCGTTGCATTGTCCTACACTGACGAGGTATGAAAGCACAAAATGTTGTTGAATATATTTCCTCGTTAACAAGCATCCCCGCCTCAAGCGACCGTATGAAAAACCCTCTTGCGAAACACATGACCTACACGATTGATACCAGCAACCTCAATTAACCCCTTTCAGTGACGGTGTGTACGAATGGAGACCCCAAATTCAGTGGAAGGTCCCGCACTACGTGCTTCATCAAATGGATTGATTCGTGCAGACCTCCTGAGTGGACAACTGGTGATCAATTACCCTCATTACGGTGCGTATTGCTGCAGAGGATTATTTGTCTGCATTGCTGTGTTCGACGATTGTTTAACGTGACGCATTCCAAGACAACATGAAACATTTTTTTTTCTTCGCTCGAAACAAATACAACCAAAAAACGAAACTGTGTATGCATTTCGGGCCTAATAGCAGATGCTTTTCATGTGAAGTACTGAATCTGCCTCATGGCTGGATAATTCGATATTTAGTTAAACGCTCATTATACTAATTACTAAAACTCATGCGGAACAACGATTTTCATATTTCTTTACTTAGGCTGTAGTACTGAGTGCCTTGGAATTATGCTACGCAAATTTGACTAGTTTCTGACCGTACATCGTACTTCGTGACTGACGGGGGCAATTACGGTGAAAAATCAGGATTTAACAGCGGATAAAGCAGTGTCTGCCACGTGTTTCAGTTTTAACCATAATGAATGAACATTGCAGAATTTTACTTCCGCAGCCACTTACCATGCCGTAGTTGTAGTCACCGGCGTCCGATCTCACGAAAACAGCTGCCCTGTGGCCCTCGTCAAAGGGAAGGTACGAGCCATTTTCCATGTTCGCGTCTATTCCAGGATGCTGGCGGAGAAAAACGCACTCGTCTCTTATTGACACGGCCAATTCATCCATTTACAACATACAGCTATGAGAGCCATTTCGTGAAGGAGTCTGGCCAGTACCAACTTTCCAGAGCTGATGCCCCAAAACTGCTGCAACGGGAGGATGCGGGCCACGATGTCAAATTTCGGATAGCACACCAACGGGCCTGTGCTGTTATTTTGGTAAAAAAACTCAACAGAAGAAAGCTTGATTGTTCCTTCACGTGCTCTATTGGCCCTTCTTGGAAGAAAAAGTGAAAGTGTCTCGAAATGCAAGACAGAAGGATGCTCAGAAAAATAAAGCGCGAAAAAGGAAAAAAGAAGTGTCATGTCGTCAAGGTTAATCTGTCTTTACTATAAGGCATTCCACATATCTCGGTGTTAAAGTCATTCGACAGGTTCTTTTATATAAATTTTACTTCAGTAAGAAGTAACCAAGCTTCCGTCAACTTATGCAACTGAACGAAACATACACACCCGCACTCGTGTTAACCACCAAGGTGCAGCCCGCACAGAGTGAAAGCATGTAAGAGTCAAAGTATGATTTCACATTATTTAAAGCAGCACAAACTACAGCACAAAGTGTACACAACGAACGCTTAGAAGGGAGCCCGAGGTGCATGAAAGATATTGTAGCATGTTCGATGGTTTGGCTAGTTAGTACGGTCCCATGTTATTTAAAACAGCGCAAGCTACAGGACGAGACGAACTCGACTTATGCTTAGAAGAGAGCACGATGTCAAATAAAAAAATAATTGAAGCAAGGTAACACTCGGCTAGTTTATATGGATCCACATTGTTTAAAGCGGTGCAAATTATGGGACGAAGAAATTAACCCAAGCGTTCGTTGTTTCCTTTTCTTCGTTCCGTAGTTTGCACTGTTTTAAATGTGGAATCACACCAACTGGCTCCGCTGTACAGCTTGACTAAACTATAGAACCAAGGGGACCATTATGGGGAATAAAACATGAGCACGCGCCAATACACGATAAGCTATTACTGAAATGCTTTCTGTCGCTAAACATATTGTCACGCGTGTCATAACTATGTGCTCGGTGTACATCAACAAAGACTGCGATCGATACTCGTCGCAGATCGCACCTTGGTGTTCGAGAAGCTTTTATTTTGTGGTAGATCGTTTTGTTCAAACAGTGCACAGGATGCGAACACTCAAGATTATTCCAGAACTTGCGGGCCCACCACTGATAAGGCTGGTAAATTCGACGCGCATTGCGCACAAGATGACGCGTTCCAACGATGATCAGTTTATCGGTTACTGACGCAATATGGACCGATATCGGGGTACAGTGTGCGTTGTTTGCTGTAATTTGTCCGTTACGTGGCCACAAGTTCACTCAAATAAAGAGTTTCACCTTAAAGAAACCTACTGCGGCCTTCGTCCACGTGATAATATTTTACAATGCATAGAGTTTCCTAAATATGCATTAGAGGAAACTCTGGCGATAGTGTCTATGGGAGCTGCAACGCATGGCGCTTCAGCGAGCATGGGAATGGTGGGTAGTACACAGATTTGTCTGAACTTCATACTTCTGGCTCCATGTGTGTTCGTGTTGCTTGAAGTTCTTTTCTCGCGAAATGAAAATCAGCAAGTGTTCAGCGGTTGCACTTCACTACCTCGCTCTTTTAGGCTTATCATTTGAAACCGGGTCACAAAGTTCAAATTTTTTTATTATTTCCTTCGAAACAAAACCGAAGCACAGCAATAAACTAAGCCACACGTGTGATTCGCCACCCACTAGTATAAAGACTATAAGCAAATCCGCGTACTACCCATCATTCCCGTGGTCGCTGAACGACCGCAACGCCAGAGTCCACTCTAGTTTATTTTAAAAAAACTCTGTGTTCTAATGCTTCTAACGTACACGTGAAGCACGTGATAAAATCTTGCGATGCTTCTAATATCGACGTGAAGCTCGCCCAGGCACATCAAATCAGGAGCGCCATACTAACCAGCGTCAGGACAAATTTCATGTCGCGCTTGTGCAGGTCCTGGGCGAACTCGGGCAGCCCGGCGAAGCGGACCTTGTCGTACGTGAAGGGCCGTAGAGCCTCCATGTAGTCAGCGTCCAGCCACACGGCCTCCACAGGGATTCCGATCCGCAGGTTCCGACGACGGGTCTCCTTGACCTCATCGATGCTGGTGTAGCCCCAACGGCTCAGGTGGAAACCGAGCGCCCAGTACGGAGGCATCGCTGGCCGTCCCACCAGAGCCGTGTACTGCTGCACCACATCGGACGGCGTGGGACCCAGGAACACGAAGAGGTCCAGAATCCCGCCGGTCGTGCGGAATGTGACCGAGGGACTCGGCTTGAGCAGGATGTCTGTGAGGTGAAAAGATCGAGATGTTACTCGCGGGAATTACTCTGTCGAGAGCTCTGGTAAGCTCAAAAACTGGAGCGTTCCCCTTGTAAATATGTGGGCATTTTGACGACATTAGCGGAGAAAGGCGGGACGCGTTAACGTTGTTCTTAATCATCGTGTTCTAGACCAGGTGTCTTGAAATTCGACGCATTGTAATGGAAGAAGAGCAAATCAACCCACTCCACTCGTTCATTCCATTTCTGCCCCAGGCCATCAATTTGCAGCCTACCAGGAGAATAGTCAACGAATGGTTCGTTGTTAAGAGGAATGTTGTCATTAACGGCCCTTTTCTGCCAAAAAACGAAAAAAAAACCTAATTGTTCAGCAGTTTATGAAGCGAAAAATCACTAGGTGTTTTATATGAAACAGTATGTATCTGTAAGTTTGAAACATACAGATACATGCAGCATTTGTAGAGGTCACAAAAGAATTCGCTATACTCGAAACCTCTTCATGCACGTTTGGCTGTGGTGCGTGTTTCAAACTACAAATTAAAGTAAAATCAAGTCAAGTTTTCTTCTTCTCTGTATCTGTATGTTTGAAACATACAGATACATACATGCATACATATCTGTATATATCTTTTAATCAAACCACCAGCCTTTCAGTCGAAAGGGTTCACAGTAACAAAAACAAAAAAAACTGTAGCACCAGCCTACATTTCTTCACAAGCTAACCTCTTACTGACTTGTTGACAAGGTGCTTAACTCGTGTTACCTTCAACCATGTGTGCTATGCCCATGTGAACCATCTTCTAATTCCTTACTATACTGGTTAATTCAAGCACTGCGTTATAACATAATTACGATTGTACTTACAAAGTATAGCGGCAACTCATTATCAAGGGTGCTTTTTGCTGTTGTGACGATGGCGCCTCGCCATTCTCCCAGCTTGGCACTCACCCATGGCGTTACTGTTGAGCAAAAAGATGCCGCAGCTCTCGCCGGTTTCCTCGTGGACCAACACGAAAGGATGGCTGCTGTACGAGTTCTTGCCCTCCTGTGAACACAAAAGGCTCATTCTCATCGGCATGAGTAAATACTAGAGGGACATCTTAAAGCAAGAGTTTGGACTGATATGGCCGAGTTAGATTTTTATACTCAATACAATGCCTAAATGAAGTGGTTTGTCTTTTCGCCGTCTAACTTTTTATCATTACTCGGATAATTGAGTTCAAGTTACAACGTAGACGTGCCAAAGCCGTGAAGAGTATCAACATTTGAATCGGTAGCCACAAATCTGTTGTTCAGAAAGATCTCTGGTGTATTTGGCTTTATACAAGATCAATCACCTCTAGTTTGAAATCGAACTTCGAAACTTCTCATAGATGTATCGCAGCAGTATACCTATGCAGAGTTTGTAGAGGTCATAAAAGAAGTCGCTATATTCGACACCTTTTCATGCACGTGTGGCTGTAGTGCGTGTTTCAAACTACAACTTAAAGCAAAATGAAGTCAAGTTTTCTTTTTCTCTCGTACACATACAAGGGAGTGTAAAGAAACTGTGTATAAAAAAGCTTGAGTAGCTCACAGCCCAACAAAAAACCACAAAAAACTGGGGAACCCTTAATATTCACCCTGAAGAGTTCAACGCGACGGCGATATCCTGTCCTGTCATCAGTTCAAAATGACTTGAGTTAACGAAGCTTTCGCATACGGTTGCGTTCTGTGTAATGGGTAGCATGCTTTAAATCACGGGAAATTGTACGCGTGAAATGTTTTTGAGCTTGCTATTCACCCTTTACGTGGCCCTAAGAGAAGAGGTGCAGTAACGTGTGCGCTTTTTGTAGTGGATGGCTCAATTTAAACCACGAAGTCGTAGTAATCACATGTTCTGACGCCCGTTCACGATGTACGCTTGTGCCACGCGTTATCAATGCGACATTACATGTTGCATTGTGAAACATGTATACAAGATGCGTGTGTTTGTAAACCGCGCAAGTTACTTTCAGCGCATTTCCAAGCAGGGTGAAGTTATTTTGACTCTGTTTCAGAGCAGGCGCCTGGCTCTGTACACACGCTTGTCACGCATAGGTCGCAGGTTCGAGCCTCAATTAGGCTGAACTTTTTTAAATATTTACTTTATTTGCATCTTTCTCAATTTCCAGTCACGCACAAGATGACGATTTCTCGCTCACAACCTACGACGCCGTTGGCGCCAGAATTTCTGTGAAACGAGCTCTTTAAAGCTATAGCGTTAAAAAGCCGGAGCGGTAACACCAGTACGGTAAAAACATGTTATTTCATGGGCAGTGTGCTACAACAGGGCCTACACAGTAAATCTAATTCTCGTGCATACGTATAGAAGATTCAGTACAAAATTATCTTGAGTGACAAAAGAAATCAAGAAAAATGATGACCTGACATCTGTTGAAACAACGATATTGGACAGAATACACTGCATACAGAACAGGCCACTGTAACAGTCACATGCCCGAGTCACGTGAGATGAGAACGAACATCCTGTTTGACAACATTGGCAGAGAAGCTGGTGTCTGGCGACTCGGCTTCCGGCAGTATAGTTAAGCTGGCAATATAGCCAGAACCACGACGATGCACAGTGTAAGTTACAGATCCTCTCAGTTGGCCAGGAAAAAGGCTTATACTTGCGCAACTCGAGGTCGCACCTTTCCCTGCGAGTCGAGTTTTACGGTAGTGCTATGACATCATTTGTGACGTCACGTCAACTATGGGGCCATGACGTGGTAAAGGGCAATGTTTTTATAATGCGTTGCCGAGTGAGTTGGTGCATGTATAAAAATAAATATAGAGCGCAAATAAAGATGCGACACAGAAAACAAGTAGACAGAATATAACGCTCACTACCAACTGATTTATTTACAAAAAAATTGTGGAGAGAAAACTTCCCTTCTGCATCCAGCACCTTCAGTTTGACAAACTGAAGGTGGTGGGACGCAGTACGGAAATGGTTGCACGTGAACTGTTAGAGGCGTTTCATATAAAATTGAATGGCGATGATTGCGTCATCCAGACGTCAGTGTGTTTGCGGGAGCGCGAATTTCAGTTGCCATGCCGCATTATGCTTCACTTTTGATATGAGCCGCATGCTTTGCGATGTGCGCAGCCGCGTTTGTGACGTATGTTCTGCATTTCTCCCCGAAATTCTTTCGTAAATAAATCAGTTGGTAGTGAGCGTTCTATCGTGTCTACTTGTTTCCTGTGTCACGTGTTTATTTGCGCTCTGCTTTTATTTTTAGGCAATCTTGATATCGTGCTCTTTAGGGTATAAAAAGATGCCGCAGTGGCGTCCGTGTGTGGTATACAGAGCGCAAAACATGTGGAACTGTTTCATCATAGTCTCAATATAGCCACTACAGTCATTGCTTTCAAGATAACTTTAGAAATTATCTGGTGCGCCATCTCACCAAGATTTACAGCAGACCTTGCACTGAGTGGCGCCCTGTAATAAATAATCTCACCGTGGGTGACCTTCCGGCGTTGAAGAGGGTTATCTTCTGCCAGTCCGTGCTTCGCAGTAACGGTGACTTGACATCTCCAACTCCGTACACGTAACGTGACGGTATGTACGTTGACATCTGAAGAAACTGGTCTGCGAACACCAGTGTCGAGATGTTTGTGTGGAACCTGCGGAAACATTGAAGTGTTTACATTGCCATGATGTTCTTCACATGCTCCTACACAGTGCAGTCACAGGCGTCTCAAGGGACAGTACTCCTGCTTGACATAAGCAGAATCCCGTCGGCTAAAGAAGTTAAAAACTTACACCTTTGAAACCGCACTTTACACAAAGTTTACTTCCATTCTCCGTACACATTCCAATCTTCTGCACCTTTCTTAACATGCTCACCCGCAGGCCATGGGATCGAGTCCCGGCTGAGGCGGCTGCATTTTCGATAGAGGCGAAAATGATGTCTACGCCCGTGTACTCAGTTTGGGTGTACGTTAAAAAACCACAGGTCGTCGGAATTTCCGGAGCCCTCCACTACGTCATCTCTCATAGTCATATGGTGGTTTTAAGATTTTAAACTCCACATATCAATCAATCAATCGATTTCTTAAGATTCTGTAAGCCTTCCATTTGCTGCCACGGTATAGAGTGTGAGGCGACGAGCTCGTGTGCACTGAACAAAAAGTTCGTTTATTCTACCCTCAATCTTTCTCATTCTTTCTAATATTACTCGTACATAACCATTCCTCATAAGTTTATGCAAAGCAGTGCTTTATCAGGAGGTGTTCAAAGCTAATTAACAACTAGATTGCAGGGAAGGTGGCCCCGCCGCGGTGGTCTAGTGGCTAAGGTACTCGGCTGCTGACTCGCAGGTTGTGGGTTCGAATCCTGGCTCCAGCGGCTGCATTTCCGATGGAGGTGGAAATGCTGTAGGCCCGTGTGCTCAGATTTGGGTGCACGTTAAGGAACCCCAGGTGGTCGAAATTTCTGGAGCCTTTCACTACGGCGTCTCTCATAATCATATGGTGGTTTCGGGACGTTAAACCCCACGTATCAATCAATACATGGAAGGTGTATTGATGCGACAGTGGCACTCAGCGTCAACGTGTTTCTCCACACACTTTTTTTTTTGTAAGCCTTCATTGCTAAGTACACGAGTGCGCATCTTTCTAAGGTCAGTTGTCAAGTGATTTAAAGGCGTGAAGCGCATGTAGAGCGCATGTCCTTTTCTCTCTCTCTCTTTCTCTCTCTCCCGCTCTCTTGCGCGCTTCGCGTTTCAAATCGTTGCAACTGAAAGCGTGATACGTACACAACTTTCCTAGACACTGGCCGGATGATCTCAACGTCTCCTGCCGGGCTGACCGAGGTCTCGTACATCACAGGAAAGTAGTGGTCCTTCTGAGGCACGTTAGGCAGCGGCACTTCATACCGCGCAGCCCTCGGGTCGTACACCTGCGACACGAGCCGCGGAATCAAAAGAAGGTGTACGTCCCAAGCCACGTCACATACAACACAGTTACAATATTTAGGACCAAGTCTAAATACTTTGCCACAGACACTTGTCTGAAGCCAGTTTCCTTGCCGGAACGTCGGCTCGAGTGGACAGCGACGTTGAATGACGCTGTCTTCGTGAAAACAAATTAAATTTAACAGAACTGTTACGATTAACGAACGATTGAAAGAGACTCCTTGGAGCCTACTATATATCTTCGAGTCAGCATATTTGACCCATGTGTTCACGAAAGCATCAATCTACATTCGAGCGGTCATAGTTTAATTAAATTGAATGCTAAATGTAAGAAACTTCATGATAGGCCAAACTTACGATGAAGTCATTTACTTTGGCGCACATAATGCATAATTTTTCTTACTATCTACAACCCACGTATGCTAGCGTTGATGAAGTAGGCTTACTGCCACACACTATAGAAGCATCAAAGGAAATATTCTTGAAATAAAGTTTCCGTTGTAAACCATTCTTTGATTACGTCAATCACGTGGAAAGCTTGATTCCTGTCTTAATGAGAAAACATTTGTAATACATTGTTTTTAACATTTCCTGTCAAATGGGCTATCATTTCAGATACTGATCCCCGAACGCTTTGGGAAACATTCAAGAAAACTGTGAAGGACTGTATTGACAAGCACGTTCCCTTACGCCGCATCAAGTCACGGCGCAAAAGTCCCTGGATTGATCGGAACGTAATACACTTAAAAAGAGGACTAAAACGTGCAAGAAAAAAACAGGTCGTAAGTGTTCAGCAGGTACAGACGCTGCAGACTGAGCTCTCCACAGCTCTGGCGACTTCTAGAGACAAATATTTTGAAATAACGCTGCCAAACTTCATCAAAGAAAGCCCGGAAAAATTTTGGCGTTATCTAGCCTCCAAAAGTGGTAAACTAGAACAAATCCAACATAATGATTCTCTTATTACCGATGCCCGTTTAGTGGCCGACAAGGCAAACGACTACTTCCATTCAGTATTTTCCGCACCGCACGATGACAGTTATCCCTTGGTTCCTACAGCCTGCCCTCCTGAAGATTTTATATGTCAAAACGGCGTTTATCACTGTTGGTCAGTGTGCGAGACAAGTCATCTAGTGGACCAGATGGCATACCCAACGCATTCTTGCGCAGATACGCCGAACCAATATCTCACATTTTAACTGAAATGTTTCGTTTGTCCTTAGCGTCCGCCATTTTGCCTTATGACTGGCTAGTTGCTCGCATATTGGCCACACACAAGAAGGGCGATCGATTATGGATAGAAAACTACCACCCGATCTCTTTAACGTCTACATGCTGTAAATTGATGGAGCACATTGTTGCTCACTACATAACAGACTTTCTTGAACGTAACGGCTTACTTTCCGAATTTCAGCACGGTTTCCGTGAAGGGCTATCGACGCACACACAGCTGATAGCTACGGTGCACGAAATTGCCTCTGCCCTTGATTCGGCCAGCCAGATTGACTTAGTATTCCTCGACTTCAGCAAAGCATTCGATCGTGTTCCTCATGGTAAGCTTTTAGGCAAACTGCTAAACATTGGTATACCCGATTTTCTTGTTAACTGGATCAAATCTTACCTTTCCAACAAGACTCAATATGTGGAGATCTCTGGGTGCTCGTCAGGCGCATTACGTGTCTTATCGGGTGTTCCACAGGGAAGCGTCTTGGGCCCAATTCTCTTTTTAATTTATGTAAATGATATAACTTCAATTGTCTCGTCTGATGTTCAAATACGATTATTTGCAGATGATTGCATAACTTTTAGAAAAATTACATGTACTGAGGATCAAATATTCTTAAATGACAGCTTGACACGTGTTGGCCAATGGTGCACGTCGTGGTCCATGAAGTTAAACTCGGACAAGACTGTTCTACTGCGAATCACAAATAAAAGAGAGCCGCTTAAGTTTTCTTACTGTATCGATGGAGTGACTGTTAAAGAAAACCCGGAATACAAATATCTAGGGGTGACAATTACCAATACGTTGTCGTGGTCTAAGCACATTGAAAATACCTGCGCAGCTGCCATGCGCAGGCTTGGGTTCATAAGGCACAAACTTAAAGCTGCCCCTACAGAAACAAAACTGTTGGCGTATAAGACCTTAGTGTTACCTAAGCTTGAATACGCCAACATTGTTTGGGACCCCTTTTCTAAGAAAGACAAGCAAAAGCTAGAAATGGTGCAGCGCCGGGCAGTGCGTTTTATTTTCAACAAGTACAGATCCACTGATTCCCCATCTTCGTTGATGGTGCAAAATGGAATTTCAACTTTGAGCAGCGACGTAAACTAGCCCGCCTAAAATTTTTGTTTTCGCTTTTTCATGACCACCTGAAGCTTAACGCAAACCCTTATGTCAAGCCGTTCTTACCTCGAGCGTAGAGACATCGCCACTCACACAATCTTCTTCCTTACAAAGCTCGCACAAATCTATTCAAATACTCTTTCTTCCCGCGGACAATTGCGGATTGAAATGCACTACCGAGTTCAGTTTTCTCTGCGCGAACTGCGGCCGCTTTTTCAGCGAAGGTGTTTGCTGCCCTAGAATAATTATCGTCTTTGTTTCAGTGGTTTGCTGACCGATTGCTGGTGCTTTTCTAGTTTTTGTGTAGCTCTCGAACGGTTGAGGATGTTTTAGTCGTGGGTTTTCATTGTTTGTTGGTAAAAGTGCGTATTTGTCTGATTTTTTTTTTTGAAGTTCAAAAATTTAGGGTGGTCCCTGAATGTATGAGCTCTACTGTATAATGGTTTTGTTTGCTTGACCTAGAGACAGTGTGATCGTTGCAACTTTCTAGTTTACAATGAGTTTTGCACTGTGCAAAGTTTTTTTTTTACCTGAAAATGTGTGTATAAATGTATGTATGTGTGTATTTGTTTATATATCTATACTGTTCGTGTGTATGACCAAAACATGCTAATTGATATGTATTCACCGCTACCATGCGATACATGTAACTTTCCGATCTGCCCTCCTGCTTGGTCCTTATGGGACTGCAGTATGTAATAAAATAAATAAATAACTATTGCATTTAGTGCTGTTTTGTGCGTTTCTTGGTTTTTGGTTCACTGCTCCATGTTTTTTTTTTCTCAAGTGTTATTAACTGAGGGTCCCACTGCAGTATTCCACTATGGGCTTTTGTGTGTATCTTTTCTGTCTCCCATTTCAATCTATACTGCGCCGCTGATGTGGTCCAGTGGATAAGGTATTCAACTGCTGACCCGCAGATTGCGGGATCGAATCCCGACTGTGGCGGCTGCAATTTCGATGGAGCCGAGAATGCTGTAGGCCTGTGTGCTCAGATTTGTGTGCACGTTAAAGAACCCCAGGTGGTCGAAATTTCCAGAGCCCTCTACTACGGCTTGTCTCATAATCATATGGTGGCTTTGGGGCATTAAACCCTACATATCAATCAATCAATAAATAAATAAATAATTCAATTGAATGTCTACTAGAATAATAAAGCAACTATTTCTCCATAACCATATCTAATTGTGATAGGGGAGGTTTGTATGACATGCGCTTTCGCCAGAAATAATGCGTCGTAGTTACATAGCACACGAAGGTCACTTCGCTCGCTGCAGAGTCCCCATTTACGAATTAGTTTACGAATAAGCTTTTGTGTTCAACTCGACGTTTCCCGTGTCTTTGCTCGCAGTTTCGTGCTCCAGTGTGCATACGTGCTCGCGTATGTGCGTACCCTAATGCGGGCAGTGTTGTCATTGTAGTTCGTGACTTCCACCTGGATGTCGCGAATTTCGTCCGGAAGGCCGGACGGAGTGACACGCACGGCACGCGCCACGATTTTCGTCGGGGACCGCTGAATGGAGTCCACCTTGTAGCCCAGGTAGTTGGCCGGGTAAAAGCAGGCTGGTGGCAGCAGGAAGCCGGGCTCCAAGTTCTCGGAGGACGCGTTCACGGGTTCGAAGCAGCAGCCGCGCACTCTGTGACCACACGATTTCGTGAAATCAAAGGTACTAATTCGGAGATCTCGTTTTGTCCGGCTGTTGGATACTATTCGCTAGACTCGAGAGGTAACGACTACACTCAAGAGGTAACACACAAAAGAGTTAATTACCTGTGATAAGAAGACACCACAGCAGTAGATTAGTTACCCTCAATCTACTTTAATTGCCCAGATTTCACTAAGTTTTCTTTGTTTGCACTTTGGCCTCAGTTTATGGCACCGTCAATCGACACCCTCTGTAACGCGTGGCCATCGTAAATGGCTTCCTCTTTTCCTATACAGTACAGCGTACTATATGTTGCAGGAAAAGAGTGACAGCTGCGCACAATCGAGGCACCCACAAGTTTGAGATCCAAATTCAGAGTAGGACGTTCCGATGCATGCTACATTTATGCGACCACTAACTTTTGAATGCCCTGTCCACATGCAATTGCCGGGGCCGCGGTAATAACTACTTAGCCGATGCTGCCATAGGCTGTTTATGGTAGGAGTATGAAGTGAGTCACTGGTGATCTATAACAAAGTTAAGTGTGCTTCAGTCTTAGCAATTCCAAAACATGTGTCTTGAGCATTGTTTCTACAGTGACAACCTGTACCACAGCTGTCGGAACAGAATGTATTGAAGAGTTCGACTCACCGGCACGACTCGAGACTAGGGGCTGCCTCGGGATGACAGTCGACGCGTTGGCTCTCCCACACTTGGCTGCAAATTGGGCTCTGGATGACGACGATCTCCTTGGCGCCACTGCTAAAAGACCCAGGAACGACTCTTCCCACGTGCGAGTTGCCTTCTTCGGCCAAGGAGCTGTCACCATATATCTGGGCCGACATCTTCGGTTCGCCCGGGCGCTGCAGCGTGGCGCGACGGTCGCTCCCGGCAAGCAGTGGGGGCGCTGCTGGCGAGTGGCGCCGACCGCTGCCTTGACCACGGCTGAGGTCACTGCCTGTAGTCACATTGAAAATAAGCGTCACGCGTGGTAAAACTTGTTATTTCCTATATAGTGTTAAACGTTGGAGGAAGTAAAAGGCTAAGCTGCGCGGCAAAGGAAACATCACATCGAAGGGTACGGGGACCATTTCATGGGGATTTGCCTTTCCCGTACCCTTCCATGTGACCGTGTCCTTATACTCACAGCAATTTACCTTCAAGTGCACCACATATACACTGCAGCTATCATATTCAACGTTAAGGGAGCTTTGCACAAGTGATGACAAGCCTGAAGTCGATGCGGAGCTGGCCAGCCTTCGTTTCTTTTCTGTTCTCTCTTTCTTTCCTGCTCTATACCTTTTAAAGACGATAGTCTTTCTTAGGGATCTTCGACGCAAAATGTTTGTTTGTCTGTCTGTACAATTGTCTATTTGTCCACCCTTAACGGTACCCTAAAAGGTACCAGACGATACCCCAAACGGCCGACACTATCCACAGCGCCCACCGATATTGGTCGAGATTCAGCGTTCACGCTTGTGCGATTGTCAATTAAAAAGCAATTATTGCGCATATCTGAGGCACCATAACAACACGTCATTATTTTCTTTGTGTGTCTTTTCAATTGAAAAGGTATACATAAGTAATTCTAAGGACCGTAGTGTTTATCACGCTGCGCTGACCATGCAACGCTTGCACGAAAAGGCAAATGTTTCCAACGCTTTGCTAAGACGATACGGTGGTAGCACCTACCCGTCGCCTTCCGTTCTACACCTTATCATCTCAGAGACGGGCGCGCACGCCGCGCGCCCCGTTTTCCAAGATAACTGCCAGATAGCGCTCATGTTTCACGTGTGACGTGACTGGATGCACTCGTTTGCCTCCGCTGCACGCTCGAGGCACTCTAACACAGCGCCTCCAGAATACCATTCACCGATTTTCTTGCGCAGAACATCAAATAAACGGTTTGTTCACTTTCTCCAGACGCAAGATCTTTCGACGACATTTGCAGTGTAATGTGCAGATACAGTGCTATTTTTTGTGCTTTCTCTATTCTTATTTTTTTCTTCCTGTTTTTCTCTTTTCTTTCTCACTCTGTTTCTCACTTTCTTTCTTTCTTTCTATTTTTATGGGTGATTTTGTCTGCGTTACACCAAGTGATCACAGCGTACGACAACATGCGACAGCCCGGGCCCTAAAGTACTCTGCACTTAAAACGTTTAAAAGGTAGAGGCAACCCAAATCCTTAACTTAGGCGTCTGGTAGGGGCACTCTCACCCCAGGGTCAGAGCTCCCAGCAAGGATGAATGTCACCGTCAATCGCTACAAACGAAAGGGGGACAAAATCATATGGGGGTTCTGGGACATTAAACCCCGACAATAATACTGCGATAGCAGTTATAAGGACACTCTCGTCTGGATTTTGCCGCCGGTGCCGACGTCGATGTCATGCACCGTATATACGTGTTTATCATATGTGAAAATGCGAGAAAGAACAAACAATCCAGAAAAAACACTCCGGCGCGCGGATTCGAACGTGGGACCTTTCCGCCGTGAAAGGGAGGGGTTAACCACTCAGCCACCCCGAAAAACGTTCTTTACTTTTGAAACGGCAAGCTATTCTTATCTACCACTTACCGCTGCTGTGTATTCGGCATTACCAGAAAGATGGCGCAATGGGCGCACGTCGGCACATCGCGCAGCGGCGCCCGCTCAAATCTCCTACGCGTAGTTTGCCCGGCTTAGAGAAGGGAAGCTACGCTCCTCGCGCGCCCTTATCTCGCAGTGGCGAGGAGGGGAGGATCGTACGGCTTGGCTGGCCTCGGGATTTACGTGGAACGATTCTGCTGTAGTTACCGGGCACGCAAAGGTCATTGCACTCATTGCAGTCTTTGTTGGCGAAAAGTGCACGCTTTTCAGACTCAGCTAAGTAATCAATGAGACGCTTGTTCGCGTGCATCCGTACCTGTGAGTACGTTTCGTGCGTAATTTGTGCGCGAGAAACGTGGGGCACGTTTCAATCGGGTTTCCATTCTGTACCGTGATCTTTCAAATTGTTGCTATCGCGTTCATTGCTTCCCCTTTGCGGCAAATCTGTGGCTTTATTATTATTATTATTATTATTATTATTATTATTATTATTATTATTATTATTATTATTATTATTATTATTATTATTATTATTATTATTATTATTATTATTAAGAAAGGGGGACAACCTTTTTCTATCATACTTGGCCACCACTTTGCGGAATTTCCTGGGAGTGATCAAACCGACGTGCAAGCATAGAGTCATGTTCCTACAATATTTACAAGAGGGAACTCTGGCGCTGCACTTGTTCGGCTACCATGGGAATGAACGGCAGTACACGGATCTGCCCCGGTCTTCGTGCTGGCGGGCTTCGAGCTCACATGCGGCTTCGTTTATTGCTGTCTTTTAGTTTTGTTTTAAGAAAGAGAACGAATTACTCCGAACTTTGTGAGCTTATTTGAAATTGTTAGTCTAGAAAGGTCAAGATGGTGAAGCGTAATGGCCTAACTTTCGCTGAACTTCGTCTTGCGACAAGCAGATTCAGGCCATGCAATCCAAACGGAGCCAAGAGAACGAAGTTAGAAAAATCCGTGTACTGTCCATCATTGCCATGCTGTCTGAGGCGCTGTACATTGCAGCTCCCATATATACTGGCATCATAGTTCTTGCTAGTGTATTTAGAGGACACTCTTTGCGTGCAAGTACTATTTCGAGCGATATTAGCGGGAACGAGTGACTGCATGGCCAATCGCATCAGGCGCGATGTGGAGTGATTCCTGAGTCAAAGTTCAAAGAAAGCCGTACTCCTGCTAACTGTTGGCACTCTGTAAAACGGCAACTGCTTGCGTGCCATCAGCCGCTCGCGGAGATGAGTTGCGTATTTCCCGAAGTGCAGGTATCTGGTATACGTTCGGCGTGCCGTTAATAAAGAAGCGTGTTGGTAGTAACAGCCGTTGTGTCTCATTCTACACTGAATATCTAACAACGCCATCCGAGTATCAATGATTCGATATTCGAAAGTACTAGCCATTCGCTCGCGTCTTCCCAATCATATTACTCCCGATAGTAAATGACAGCGTCTTTTTTTTTCTTCCACCCCATTTTAAACGCGGCCGCCGCGTACTGCGGCAGATTATCCTTGATTCAAAGGGTTCAAATGAACCAGGCCTTCCAGTTTTAGCCCCCCCCCCCCCCCCCTTCAGACGGCCAGAGAAAAAAAAATTGCCGACTTCGTTGTTTTGTTCGAAAAAGTTTATCCCTCCTGCTGAATTCCCCCGAGAAAAACAGACCACCTAATTCAATAATCAATATACACACCTCCAAGAGGTCGTTCGTTGCATAACGTGCATAATCTTGAAGTCAGCTTATATTTCTGCAGTCTGTGGTAAGAACCTTTGTTCTCCCAGATGAAAGAAGCTGATCCAGCGGATGGACACATAGCGCTGCCTGACCAGGATTTTAGCAGCTACGGTCCAACACGCAATGCGAAGGTGCATTAAGGGTGGTTCCTGTTCGAAACATCACTTAACGCGCTGAATGAAAATAACCGGTATGAAGCTGACGCATAGGTATGCTGTAGTATGCTTTCATTATAGTTTAAACAATGGACTATGAAATGGTACGGAACCTACTTCCTGATTATGCAAGGACTCCGAAGGAGTAATGGTTTGATTATTCACTTCTGGCAGTGCCGTTGTGTCCTAATTCCTGCTTGGTGGTCATATGGGAAACCTCAAGAGACCATCACTTGCTCCAGGTTGTGTACAGGAAATATCTATAACTTATATCCTGTCAGCCGACTCTCACCGCAGCTGCTTCAGCGTTCTGGTGATGATGTTAAACCAACCATCACTTATGAGCTTTTACGAAATGCCCTGCATATCAAGCAACCACGGGCGTCTCATGTGAACATGATGCTTAATTCTCTGAGCCGAGCGCAGGCGCGCAGCTTGTCCGAGATTAGCTAACACCACTGCCGGGTTCAATGCTGCCTTAGAAAAGCTTAAATATGTGTTCTTGTATGAAATAAAGAGTATTTAGACGATGGGCAGCGTATTGATTGTAAGTACGTGCGAACCGTTTCTGAAAATAGCCCGCCTGTCAACTTAGGCAGTACTCGCCCGCCGGCAACCAAATCAATGAAGCTGAAGCAGATAGAGGAAGCTATTTTTCACATAGGTGCTCCCGATGAGGGTAAACAACGCTATAGGTTAAGACGAATAGAAGAAACACACACGATGCTTGGACTGCACTTCTACAAGCAGTATGCACTCCTTCTTTTTGTCTTAATTCTTGTGCAGTTTAGTCCTCTTACAGTACGATCCAATTAACCAGGCAAATGTTTATGCGGTTCTTGTGTGTTGGTCTTCTGGTATACTTAATCGGTACGATGACAATCTATACACGTTATCCGCATGTCCGAAAACGCCAAGGCGATATAAAACGCTCCGGAGAGTCGTAAAAACATATTGCTTGTGTTCTTTGCAGCTAAATATAAAAAGTTTCAAGTCTGAAGCATGACCAGATGACAAAGCTGGAAAGAAAGAGGGCGGGCGGGGCGAGATGGGAGGGGCCCACCTTATTTTTTTTAACCGTGCCCTCCACAATGTCAATCCGGCCCTGGCCACTTGGCGGGCATCGAACTCCTGTTCTCCAGCTAAATGGCGCGGCACCTTAGCCGCTAAACTGGCATGGTGGGGGAAATATGTTCTCTTTGACAAGATTACCGATTCTAAACACCGCAAAAACACAAGGGGACAGGTGAAAGCAAATATAGCGGGAATTGAAGTTTTCAGACCGCAACAATGTCGCAAAGAGCATGGCCAGGTGGCTCTATACGCGAAGTCATCGAAGCAGAGAACAGTTTTTGTTTGTTTGTTTTTGTAATGAAGGGGTCCTGCAGCATGCGTTATGTTGCTTTCCCCGAAATATTCGCTTCCAAGCAACAATCTGTGTCCTCTCTTCGGTTAAAATTTCTACTCTTTTGTACTGTTAGGAATTCGCTATAGCTATATCCCAACACGGCCAATTTAACACTCGTCTTTGGCAAGAACAAACTATGGTGAGCTCTCCATTACTTTGTTACCCTTTTTCTGGTGTTCCACCAGGCAGTGTTCTTGACCCCTACTTTTTCACGTTTACATTATAATTACCTGCCCGACAACTTATCCTCATGTATGCATATATTTGCTGATGACAACATCATCTATCGTCCCATCCGCAACAGTAGCGATCACCTCACTGTTCAAAAAGACCTCGAGCGTATTAATGAGTGAAGCAAAACATGGCAGATGACACTAAATGTATGCAGATGCAAACTAATCACCATTAGTCGCAAATGTGATAACTTTAATGGTCAATACATAATTGATAATAGCATTGTAGAACGAACTGAGCATTACAAGTACTTACGCATAAACGTAACTCCTACACTATCTTGGTTCACACATATTACTTCCACCTGTGCAAACACTTCATAATCATTAGATTTTCTGTGCTGTAGCCTATACAGTGCTCCCTCCAGTGTACGTAAACCGGCTTATCTTGCTCTAATTCGTCCTCAACTCAAGTTCGCCTCCTCCATTTGGTCACGATATTAACAATACCTCATAGAGAAGTTAGAATCTATACAAAACAGAGCTAGTTGATTCATAGCGCGTACTAGTTACAGCTACCCATCCAGCGCAACACGGATTAAACAGAGTCTTGCTGTCAAGCCACTGCGACATTTCAATTTAATCACTATTCCACAAACCCATCCACACCAGCATGTTGTCATCTGTTCACCTTAAACTAGCACATCGAACTTCGAGCCAACTTCATAACAGCTTTAGCTTATCACGCATGCACGGTTATACTAACGCTTTCAACCAGTTAGCTCTTCCGAGATCTCGAGTCACAGCAAGACCACTCAAAGTTCTGCCTCACTCCTACAAATTATTTGTGCACCGAAAAGTGCTGCACCGCATTTTAACAATAATCTGTTCCTGTATATAGCACTGTTACCAAAGTTTTTTCTTGGCCCTCCTCCCTCGTCACTTTTTTTACTTCTGTACATTCATTTAATGTAAAATCTTTTGTCAGTTTTTTGTTGCAGTCTTGCTGGTTTATAGTTACTGTCAATTATTTCTTTTGTATTCCATCTTCACACCTTCAAATATTGTAAATGTGTTTTCTAGTATGTATGGTGTTCATAAGTTCATGGGTTGAATTGCACTTTGTATACTAATCAATTTCTGCCGATATATATATATATATATATATATACTATATATATATATATATATATATATAGATAACTTGCCGTGGGCAAGTTATCTCTTCATCCACTTTTCTTCTTTGTTACATTACAATTCGGTCTAATATCTTCCCCTATACTTTCCTTGGCATTATTGTCCGTTAGAACTCAGTAATATTGTGTAAAACACGGAAAAAACGAGCCCCTAAGTATACACTCCTTTCCTTCCACACACCACACACACACACACACACCAACACACACACACACAAATATATATATATATATATATATATATATATATATATATATATATATATATATATATATATATATATATAGCCATCTGACCTTCATTCATCCTCTTCATCGGGCACACGCGCATCGACAATATGCACTGCGGCCGCCTTCAAACAGCGGAACCCCCGTCGGTGAAGGCGCCGTCTCGCTTCAGGCGTGCGACGTGTACGATGTCGCTGGCCCGAGGTGTGGATGAAGACGACGAGGCAGCAGGAGCGATTTCATAAGTGACGGGAGTCACCACACGAAGCACTCTGTATGGCCCTGTGTACCGAGAAAACAGTTTGTCAGACAGGCCGACGTGCCTGGTCGGAGACCACTGCAGAACCAACGAACCGGGCGAAAAGTGTACATCGCGGTGTCGTTGATCATACCGACGCTGTTGGTTTTCTTGGGAGGTCAGAAGGCGAGCATGAACGGCTTCGCGTTCGTGGGTGGCCCGGCTGATGACGTCCAGGGCATATTCTGTGGTCGGAGCTGCTGGCAACGGAATGACTGTATCGAGGGGTGATGTGGGTTCACGGCCTAACAACAGAAAAAATGGGGAATAACCAGCTGTTTTGTGGCGCGACGAATTGTACGCAAATGTCACGTATGGTAGAGCGAGGTCCCTGTCAGAGTAGTCTGAGGAAGCGTAGTCTGAAAGCATGTCGGTTAGGGTTAGGTTCAGAGGCTCCGTAAGGCCGTTTGTTTGCGGATGGTACAACGTAGTGAGCTTGTGGCGCGTTTCACATGAGCGTAGGATTCCCACTATGACTCTCAATAGATATATGTGGCCTCGGTCCGTGAGCAGCTGGCGTGCAGTACCATGTTGCAAGATCACATAGCGTAGAAGAAAATCAGCGACGTCTGTGGTGCAACTTGTTGGAAAGGCTCGTGTGATGCCATAGCTTGTGACGTAGTCTATGGCCACAACTATTCACCTGTTGCCAGCAGAAGACAGGGAAAAAGGGCCGAGTAAGTCCAAACCGACGCAAAAGTAAGGTTCAGAAGAAATGTGCAGCGGTCGAAGGCACCCAGCCAGAAGCGTCGACGGTGTTATGCGGCGCTGACATTCTTCACACGTGGTGACGTATCTTCTAACGGAGCGTGCGAGACCTGGCCAATAGACGCGACGGCGAATCCGGTCGTATGTGCGGGACACGCCGAGGTGACCGGTAGTAGGAATGTCGGGAAGTTCGTGCAGTACAGCCGAGTGGAGGTGTTTGGGTGTGTAGCATTATCACGTATAATCTTTACCGCCCCTCTTACACATGCCTCTCGGGGGCTGTGGAAGGTCATGTAAATAAATAAATAAACTGTACCCGTTTGCGTGCGCACTTTTCCCCTTCAGGGGGGGATGGGCGAAGGTTCGTCGCAGCGGGCTCCTTCACTATTTTGTCAATGTATGGGGTGGACTTCGCGCCTCCCACCCCCCTGAGTTGCAGTGCCCCCTACGCTCTCTACTATCTCAATGCGTACCCCTATAGCTGCACCCACCTGGTGCCATGGCGGCCGCTGACCCATTGGCTGCACCCGGTCCGGCACCCCTCTGACGCAGCACTCCCAGGAAGCTCTCGGGCAGGTCGGCCACGCGCAGCTTGATGGTCATCGTGGGTTCCGGCTTGGGCAGCGGCTTGTCGCGTGGGGAGAAGGGCCGGCCCGCCGACATGATGTAGAAGAGCGACACGAGGATGACGCACGACGACAGCAGCATGACGACGCCGAACGAGTACATCACCGCCGTCGGAATGCGCAGCGCCCCGCCCGCTTTGTCGTCGCCGGAAATCAGCTTGCCTGCATGGAACGAGATTACTTCAGAAGTGCCTTGATCGGTCTAAGTTGTCGTGTTCTTATCGTGTCTGCAATGGATTTCTGCATGACTAGTTCTCTCCATAAAAATTACACTTCAGAAATTTGAACGTGCGTTCGGCGAAAGCGTCTGTTCATTCGGCTAACTAGGCCATGTCTTTTCATATTATTTTTTTTTGCACTCAGCAATCACGTGATTGGTAAAGTAGTGCAGAAGGGAGAGGCCACAGCAGCGGAGGTGCAACTGTTGCTATGCGCTGCAGGGCCATCTCGTGATTGCTGTGAGAGTGTGAAGGGTAAACGTCACAGCTGACACCATTCCAAGAAACCGACGGACGGATGGTCATACCCGAGTATGGTACATCGCTAATTATCGATTTGTTTATATTTATTATAACTATGATTATTAAATAATACATTATTAAAAAAATAAAGATTACTAATGTTAAGGTTTTCGCCTTAACTCCGACATAATGGCTCAACTCGGGATCTCTTTTATCGCCGATAAAACAACTTGGAGGCGACATCCTTAGCGCAGATACATTAAAAACTCAAGCGCCTGCTTATGTGTAGCCCTGTTTATAAAGCATGGCGGTGCCTTTAGGGCATTTTTTTTTCCTTCAGGAGCAGTACGCAGCCGTGGACGTCACTTCAGTTGGTGTCACTTACAATGTTTTCCACCTGCAAGAAAAACCCACGCCGAGAACTACAAGTCGCATATGACATAGGTAGGTTCACGTTTCTAAACGTCGGCTAGCATGTGTGGGCACTCAATTTCTGTTCGTGCAATGGGCACGTCGAGTTACAGCGCGCTCTTGTAAACCTAACAGTTGCAAAGCGACTTCCGGTGCGACCTCCTTTTGTATTTCCAGTCAGCTAGCACATGCGATTCACCACTTGTATTTCAATTTCGAATAAATTTCAATTACAATTCAAAATGCACGTGAATTACGAAGCGCAACTCTACAGGCTCCAGCCCTAAGACAGTGCATGAAGGCCGGTGCGAGAGCTCGACCTGGGACGTGTTTGCGACTGAGTAGCGTGTTTCTGACCCTCTCCTCCGACGAGTGCGTTCTTCCCCATTCGTTCCTACAGTGTAAGCAACGTAACATTCACTATGTAACAATTTCGTGCCCCACAAATCAGTCGGTGGAAATCGCCATTAAGCTGAGCTCCGCGGCCGTCGCACTCTAGCGCATTCAAGCATGTTCCTTAGCAGTTCGAAACGCACTAGCTTATCGCGCCCAATGTCTGTATCACATCGTGCATCCATCCACTGGCTACAGACAATAATTTGGACTAAGGAAGAGGGAAGCAACTAATCCTCCTCTTTGCGCAGTTTCGTATATATCTATCTCAACGTCGAGAAGTTCTTTGAGGGAAAGAAGGGCTGGTGGCCCTCGCGTAAGGATATTACTTGATGGAAATAGTGCTTTGGGGAACGGGACTTCAACAGACTCGCCGAGCATCCAATATTGCTGTAGACGCAACGCCAGCATTACCAGTGATGGGTGTCTCTTCCATGTTGCCATTGTCATCCAGGCGTACCTCCTGGAAGATCTCGCCTTCGTTGGCGTCCTCAATGTTTCCTCTAGACGCCCTGAGCTCCATCTGCTCCTGCGCAAACGCGAACACCTGAGTTGATTCTATAGAACAAACGTGGCCACTAGTGAAGATGCTCTAACGTTGGACTCATGTATAAATGCCGCCATGCCTTGCCGAGGATCACTTTATCGATGGCCGATGCCCCGTTTGCCGCTTTCACTGTGCAGTGCTTTTGCTGTAGTCTGACTTTGGGTTTCTCGGCCCCAAGTTCGGTCAAATAAAGAGGCTCATCTCGGACATACCGGCTGCTGTCTGGGTCCACGTCACAACCACGCTACAATATTCACGGCATCTATCGCGTTTTACCAAGTTCTTATATGGCAAAAGTGAAGTGCGTACATTCTCGTTTCAGGGGGTCATGTACTTCACATTACAGAGTTTCAAGAAACTTGGTCGAGTGACTACCGCAGACATAAGAAAAATACACTTTAGAATTCGGGATATCGCGCGTGATTTTGTCGTTAACTTTAAAAATTAGCGTTTGACCTTCATTTTGTGCGAAGTTAAAAACCAATTATGTGGATATTGCAAACATTACAACTCTCAAGAGTGCGATTTGTTGATATAGACCGATACATTTATTCACCTAGACCTCTCTAACAGGACTCAGTCAGGCTTGCTGTCAGACGACCTTAACTATTCTGAAAGAGGTTTTTAGAGAAGAGCTTCTACGCCCACTGTTTGTGCGACTCCCAATAAAGACAAAAATAGGCTCATTATATATATGCTGCTCTCATGCTCATTACACACACACACACACACACATATATATATATATATATATATATATATATATATATATATATATATATATATATATATATATATATATATATAGAGAGAGAGAGAGAGAGAGAGAGAGAGAGAGAGAGAGAGCATGTGTTAACCAGGTGGAGTTATGCGCACTGAGCATAGCTCCACCTAGTTAACACATGCTCATTATAGCGTAGCGTAAATAAACCACGTAAGCATGTAAAAGCTAAGTAACATCATTCAAGTTATTGAATTAAGACGGAATTGGTTCCAATTACCCAGAGCTGATATTTTGGCATGCCTAGTTATTCGGAGCTCTGCTATTGTGCCAAGTGAAAACAAATATAGTAACACCAAAATTGAACTAATTAGACTATATATACTAGGTAGGCCAACTTGGGATGCAAGCTCATCAACAGCGCGCTTCGCATAAGCAAATTAGACAATTAGGGCTAATTGGCTTAGGCTAATTAGACTGCTTAGTGCGGCTATTGTCATACATTACGCAATCGAACTCAATCGATACTTAGGCGATATTCTTCACTGCCTGTGTGACCACGTGAACACTTCGTGCATCGGCATGTAAGTGCACATGTGCCCAGTTAAGGCAGGACTAGTAAAGGGTCGACCAGCTCTGCTCTACCCCAACATTGCGCGACTCTACACAATCCGCGAATTTTTTCTTCCACCACATCTGCACTTCCGACAATAGTAACTGAACTGAGTTCCACAAAACTGTTCCACAGCGGAGTTATCGCTGTAAATGCTCACCTATTCAAGGCGGTGGCCAACCGATGAACGGCTCAATGCAGGACGGCTTCTTCTTCCTTTAACGCGAGCCACGCACCAGTGAATTGGTTGGCTGGTGGTGCCCCAGAAGACTGGCACAACCCACTACGGGGGATCAGCTCCGAAGCATATGGTAAAGGAACTTAGGCAGTATTCCAGGTGCCCCAAGTGGTCAAAATCTCCGCAACCCTCCACTATACGGCGTCTCTCATAATCATATGTGGGTTTTGGGAAGTTAAGCGCCACATATCAATAAAAAAATCATCAAGTGGTTCAAGGTCAGGTTTTTAAAAAGTGGTTTCAGCAATCTGTGCCTGATATTTTTGTAACTGCGATTCTGTGAAGTAACGCTCTCTTGTTTATGTCTGATCGCAATAATTTATTGAGGGGAAGTATCAAAGCTAGGCATGTGCAAATTAAAAAAAAATCAACAGATCCCACGCACCTGGGAATCAACGTTATGCGAAGCATGCGGAGGGAAGATGACTGTGTTGCAATTTTTAATTGCGTGACACGTCATAAAATGACGCTGATTATATGTTCAAATGTCACTCGCACAGACATATGTTGAATAGCTGCATATGTTTATATAACCGGTTGTTTGCACTTGCGCAGTGACGCCAACTGTAACGTGTGTATTAGCAACACCAGATGCTCATATGAAGCGCTGATGCTCGCGAGGGTTCTGGCCCTGGACAATGCTACATAAACCAACTTCAGCGCATGGCAACTAACCACAATTGAAGTTAGCCCAACGTGACGGCTGTATCAAAGGAGTGTATGTCATTTTTATGCCTTATACTATGTGCTACTCCACGGAAATCTAAGGTGCTGGGCGTTTTTATCCTTTAAGACTATAAATCTAGTACGTTCCAACCTCGCGCTAGCCTGGACAGTTGCATCATCCTCAACTTAGCATCTGGAACAATGCCACGACACCTTAAAATCTATATCTACAACGTACTATTTCAGCAGTATTTTTCCAATGATGTCAGTGGCCAGAAGTGGCTTTCTTCCGGTCTCTGTCCCACATACACAGCCAGATAGTCCAATAGAAAATGAGGATGTTTATGATTTCCTTTTCATCATTTCTTGCCGATCCCCGTGAAGTGGTCTGAGCCGCATTTGCGATATCATCATCGTCGTCACCATTAAAACTGACTCCCACTCCCACTGGCAGATTGGCCGAGAATCATTCATGGCTAGCGAGTCGTATTCGTCAAACCATTATATATATATATATATATATATATATATATATATATATATATATATATATATATATATATATATATATATATATATATATAACAGGTTAACTATGGAAATGGAACTCCGGGTGTTATATACCTTCGTACGGCTTTCAATCACGGAAAACGATTGAACACGTGTTGAGACATGATTGAACACAATTGATTGATTGATTGATTTGTGGGGTTTAACGTCCCAAAACCACCATATGATTATGAGAGACGCCGTAGTGGAGGGCTCCAGAAATTTTGACCACGTGGGGTTCTTTAACCTGCACCCAAATCAATTGAACACAATTCAATGCTAAGAATCGTCATTCGCAAAACTGTGAGCAACATAAAGATCAAAATGCAAGTGACGATCTAAGGCGAACGAGTGCACGTACAGCCGAAGCCGTAAGGCAGAAGTGAAGTGCTCACCTTACAAGCTGGGGCATTTCGGCGTGGAAGTCGGCCTGTGTTTTCCCCATCATCATCGGTCCAGTGCACACATACTATGGCACCAACGGCGAGAGGTTGTCGTTCGATAAAATTGCTCGCCACGGCAGGGAAGAACGCCGAAAAGGTCGAAGCATTCCCGTCGTGCCTGAGGGCACGACGGGAATATTGCTTTCTTGTTTGTCATCCGTGCGCTACCACTTTGCGCCGTAAGCATCAAGTATAAGCAGCCGTGGCCCCGGAGCGTCGTAATTACCGCTGCAGAGACAAGCCACCCCAAGACCTCAGCTTTCACCTCCGGCTTAGCCTTGGCCTCTGCGGAGCGATGAAATCATACGCGTGCTCGAGCAGTTCCCAGATTCCACACACACGCCTCCATGACATTGGAGCAGCGGCGCCTAAACTGACGTCTTTACTCTTGCGATGCTGTTGCCATAGACGTCGAATGACTATGGGTCATCAATCGCATATTTAATTTGTTTTTGCGAAAATAACTACATGTTTGATCTTACAGACAGTCATTCTTTGAAAAGTTATTCAAAAGGCATCGAAAGGCAGGTATGGTACTCAAGCAGCTGTGCGTGGCTTTCTCCCATCACGTACGTTCAACTTGATTGATTGATTGATTGATTGATTGATTGATTGATTGATTGATTGATTGATTGATTGATTGATTGATTGATTGATTGATTGCGGTCACGTTTTCATGCTTTCATGTATTAGTCATCGCACTATTTTTTGTTGTATATATCTTCGATACCGGCCAGCTGCTACACATGATCCTTCAGCAAGGTAAAGTTCTTAATCGTGATGATTACCCCGCCTTACGTTTCGGGCAAGTCTTGTATTTCTTTTTTGCCTGAAAATACCTTAAATTGATCGACTTGACTGACCTAGACTGGATTTATCATTCGAATAGGAACGACGTATTTGAACTCGACAAAGAGCCACAGTTTCGCCACAAGGACACGGTAACATCAACCAAACTCCTATGTAAGGAAACCCGTCAGCACGCAAACTCGTTGGTGAGAACACAGTACGTAGAATGGTGTCAAGCCCTAACCGCATGCACGCGCTGCAAATCGTCAGCACGTGGCGTGCCCTCTTCCTGTGGAGGTAGAGGGCATGCAATTATAGTTGCGCGCCTTCTCCTTCCGACGCGACGTGGCGCCCAGACTACACGCCTCCCACTGACGCGTTGTGACGCGCACGTGTAGTTAGGACTTAATATGTCTGCTTATAAATGTTGGGCTTTCGCGGAACCTCGAATCCCCATCCCGCTCCTTCGAACCCCTTTCCTTGCCTTTCGCATGATGGATGACGGGCCGGTGTGCTTTCTCTCCACTTGAGCCGCGATCGTCGCCTGCCCTTGCGCGTTTTCGCTCATAGAAATTACGACGCTCTTGCGGTAATTGATACGGTCCGTGGATTTTATACGGAATCTCACGCCACCACCCACGGCGATGGCAAAAATATGCCTGGACCGTTCATATAATCGCTCGCGATAGAAATAGTTTTCCCTCAATCCAATGAGCTGCTCAACAAAACTTCTCAGTGTTAATATTACCATCATCATTTTCTCTCTTTACGGTCAGATAAAATTGCAACAATAATTTGTCTTCTCTGGAACATCGTGATTTTTCTATTTATGATTAGACAGAATTATAACAATAATGCGCCTTCTCTGGATCAAAATAAAGTCTCATTCATCATCATCGTCATATTATCATATAGGGTTTTGCTTCTTAAAGCCGTAATATGATTATGATCGAGAGACGCTCGAGTGGTGGGCTTCAACATTTTAGGTCATCTGGTGTTCTTTAACGTGCTCTGACATCACACAGTACACGAGCCTCAATTATTTTGTCTCCATTGAAATGCGACCGCCGCCGCCGGTATCGAACCGGTGACTTTCGGCTCAGCAGCCAAGCACCAGAACCACTGCTCCACCGCGGCGGGCATCAAACAACTATACAAAGCACGAACAGAAAACTAGGAGGAGAGAAAGCTGAGTACTGCCGCTGAAAATGCACACCTGTATAATCATGATGGGCAAAATTTAAAAAAAAACACATTATATTCATGGGGTGAAAGATGATGAATGGAGCGAAACGTCTGTCTGTCTGTCTGTCTGTCTGTCTGTCTGTCTGTCTGTCTGTCTGTCTGTCGGTCGGTCGGTCGGTCGGTCGGTCGGTCGGTCGGTCGGTCGGTCGGTCGGTCGGTCGGTCGGTCGGTCGGTCGGTCGGTCGGTCGGTCGGTCGGTCGCTCGGTCTGTCTGTCCGTCCATCCGTCCATCCGTCCGTCCGTCCATCATTCTGTAAGTCCGTAGGACAAGGTTTGACTAAGAGGAGCTTCGCCCACTCCTTAAAAAACTTTTTTTCCCAAATTATCTATTCTCATTGTTCCATCGGCCTCTCTGATGACACGTTCCTAGTCCTGGCGGACGTAAATATTCTCTTATATACGAACATATTACCGTTAGGCATTCTTGGGAATACGAATTTTTGATTCCAGCGCCTTACCCGGGATTTTTTTTACGGGGGGCGTTTATAGGTATAAGGCTAACTTTGGAAACTCGTGGGCTATGTGAATGTGCGCAACCACTTCACTATACCCCGAAAGTTTGAAGCACAAAAAAATATCGGGGGTGTCAGAACAATCTTAACCACTCCCCCCCCCCCCCCCACGTGGTTACGGCCCCAATTGGAGCAATAGTTCATACGCACACTTGACAGCGTTTACAATATCACTTTACAATGACATTGTAATTATCAAGGTGAGCAAATGACGATGTATGCTTCAGTCGTTTGTATCCAATATCATGAGACAAAAAATAAGGATCTGAGAACCAGCACGCATTCAAAATGATAAAAGCCTCAGCGCGTCACCTTGTCCTCCATTTTCTTTCATTAGAGTCTGCAGACGCCCATGGCAAGTAAGACTGTACGCAATAAATTACATGCAGCGACACGTTGCAGTTCTGTTGACGTTGGCACAATGTGAAAAAAAAACAGGAAAAACATTGCATAACATACGACAAACAAAAACGCTTCCCTGTTTTGTAACTATCCCTGTTTCGCTGCAGTACGCTTCCCTGTTTTCCATAAACCTGGCTTTGTTGTCGCAACGCGTCCAATCCAGGCGTTTACCAAAACATCAATTGGGCCTTTCCGTCGCCTTTTATTATCGTTTTTGCGGCGTCAGGGATGGCGTTCTGTTTACAAGTAAGGCGACGTTGTATAAAAAGCGCCCCGTAGCGCATCGTCACCTCTTCTATATGCAAAACAAACACGATAGGTGTAAAAAGGTTGTATATAACATACGCGTAAGGAAAAAGCACGTTATAAGATACTATGCCGCCGTACACGAGCGTCTTTCACGTAACATTCCTTGACTACCCAAATAGAGGCACCCCCCAGGGAGCCATGCTATCCCCGATACTATTTAATATCGGCCTGAGAAAGCTCGCATGTGAGCTGGAAAATATAAAAGGTCTAGGAGCAGCTCTTTACGCAGACGATGTCCCCTTATGGACAAAGGGTGGCTCTTATGCGGACAAAGAAAACGCCCTCCAGGAGGCAGTAGATAAAATACAAGCTTTCGTGACAGCTGCAGGAATGCAATGCTCGCCGGAAAAAACTGAAATGGTTAGAATTAGGGCACGATACGCAAAGAAAAAGGACTTAATACCGGTAGCAGTACTGCTGGATGGGAGACAAATCAGGGAGGCAGATGTAATACGCGTGCTTGGCATGTGGATACAAGGAAATTCGGGAACGTCACACACACTACAAAGGCTACGGGGAACCACGGCGAATGTGGCCCGGATGATCAGGCGGATAGCAAATAGCGAAATGGGACTAGAGGAGAAAGAAACCATTGCACTCGTTCATGCATTTGTGATCAGCCGAGTTACGTACGCGCTACCGTACCAGACAATGACAAACCAGAAGACAAAGCAAATAAACACAATAATAAGGAAAGCATTCAAAGCAGCATTGGGGATTCCGGAAAATGCCAAAACCGAGAGGGTAGAGAAATTGGGCATATACAATACCTTTGAGGAGTATGCGAATGCGTTGCTTTTATCTCAAAAGGAAAGGCTCAATTCAAGCTATCATGGGAGAAGAATTCTGGAAAAGATGGAATATACATTGCGACCGCTATATTGTGACGAGGAAACGGTGCTAAAAGATGCGGAAAAACGCACACATTTAACTGGGGCGCCTATTCCCAGAAATATGCATCCGACGTATCACGCAGGAAAGAGGAAAGCGAGAGCAGACTCCTTACGCAAAGCATTTCAGAATAGCTCAGAAGCCGTCTTTACAGACGTAAGTAAAGCGAGCAGAGGGTCACATGTAGTGGCAATTGTAGCACAAAATCACACCACAATGGCGTCGGTTAAAACTTGTTTCACACGAGTGGCAGAGGCGGCAGCAATAGCCATAGCCATATCCAACGCAGAAATCAGGGGAGAATCAGTGGTTGTGCTCTCCGATTCACAGGCGGCATGCCGAATATTTCTCCGAGGAACGCTACCTAAAATAGCGTATAAATTTTTAAATAAACCCATAACAGGAGACCATCACATTATATGGTGTCCTGCTCACGAAGGTTTGGAGGGGAACGTCGTGGCAGACCGTATAGCTCGAGGCATCACCAACCGAGCGACGGCAGGCCACGACGTTGAACCTCTTTCCAATTCGCGTGACATCCTCCTCCAACAAAGGAAGCAACGAAAGGAATATGGGCTTCCACATAAGGACTTGAATAGCCAGCAAAGCAGGGATTGGAGACGCATACAAACCAATAGCTTTCCCAATTTGTACCATCTAAGTAGAATATATCCCGCAAGATATAAAGACACCTGTCCGTGGTGTTCACAAGTACCAACACTCAGCCACATAACATGGGAGTGCACCCAGAGGCCCACACACAACGACAGCCCACACATCACGAAGCAACCACACATGTTTCACAGGCAGTGAGAGGCATGGCTTGCGGACGAGGACAGGCAGAGCCAAATAGCTTTGCT